TAATTTGGAGATTTGAAGTGAACAAATTCATGGTATTTCAGCCAGAAAAAACATCACAAGACCGTGCCATTTTGGGGCACCTCGTTGGGGTCAGGGAAGCTGGCAGGTTTACAGCCACTATAGCGACTACGTGTTTCTCGGCGCGCGCTTGGTTGAGACACCTCATCTTGCAAAACCGCTCACCGGGATTCGTAGGTTTCATGTCTAAATGATCCGTGACATGATCCGTTTCAATGTCCAATGGATTCAAAGATATTCAAAGCAACATGACTACAAACACCAGATTCACCATGAGTAGTCTGTTTCTTCCAAAAGCTGTGGCAAATGATGGCACTCTCTTGAGACTGTGGCCATTGATGTGGAGGTGTCCTTTGATTTTTACTGTGTTTTCCATATATCATTCCTGATGGTTCAAGAGAGTCTCAAGATTGCAAAGTGTGATGTTTTTTTAAGTGTTTGTTAATGTTGACATGGTTTGAATCATTTATTGTTGCGTTCTTGTTTTGAACAGTTCAGTGGGTCTGGGTTTCAAGTTTAAATGTCACATTTTGCACGGGATGATTTTTCAAGGGAAGAGCATCCGGTGGGATTAGCTGAGTGAAATACCAAGCTCCGCAGCATGTGGCGATCATGTCCACCTCCATTGATGTTTATTCCAAGCTGGAGAACTGAATTTAGGGCTCAGGAAAAAAACAGATACCCTAATTATTAGAAAAATGGGCTCTGGTAAATCACCCTAGACTCTGGTAAACTATTAGACTAACATAACTATGGAAAATCACCCCAATTTTAGTGGGTACATTAACGAACTTTCTAAGGTCATGGAACCAATAGCTTTTTGTATGTTTACCAGAGGGTAGCCAATAAATCCAAAAGCCAAGACATCATTTGTGCCGCCTCTGCCCACATCCCAGGTTGAAGAATCCCTTCTATGAGTTGGACATGCCTTTGGGCCAGCGATTTACCGTGGCGACACAAAACATGTAAGATGGACCATGGTGGAGCTATTTTGATGATGTGTTTCTTTTTTTTTTGGGGGGGGGATTTTGGCGGAGAGATGCGGAGAGTAATGGTTTTGATGCTGGGTGAACATGTTTTAGGGACAATGCAGATCATGCAGCAAGTTAAAAGAGGAAGAGTTTGATGGACACTGAAGCTCTTTGGGGACCCAATGCTCTTAAGCTTTTGAGGTTCTACATTCTACCAATGGTGTTATTGCTTAATTTTGAAGAACGTATTTTGCGTTGATATCAACAGACACGGCATCTTAAAAAATCCCTTCTAGATTAAGTTCCACAATTTTGCAAAAACCAGATATATGGGATTTTCCACCAGGACTAGGGCAGGGTATGAAAAACCATATTTACCCTTTATGCTGCAGTGTATATCCGCTTGTATATCCCTTCTTGTTGCCAGGATGGTGATGGTCCCCACATGTTTTTGAAAAAACCCACATCGATCTGAGGCCAATACGTTCCGAAGCCTTCGAAAAAGAGGTGTCGGTCAATGGGAAAGGGGCGAACGAAGGGTGGGCCATGGTTGCTGTAGCTGGCTGTTCATGGCTGGAGTTTTTTTCGTTCTATCCCCAGACATAGCTGAGTTATAGCATGTTATAGCTGAGGTATTTCATGGGTTATACCCTCTGGTAAATAAACATAGACCCTGAAAATGACCAATTTTTAGTGGTTTCACTAATCTTCCAACCCCCATCTGCCAGGGTCTATGTTAATTTACTGGAGGGTAACATGTTATAACCCAGTTATGATCTAACCAGTTGGAACTAGCCATGGCCCATTTGTTAACAAATGGGACCAAAGGCCCATGGATCCAAGATGCATCCAGCTGGATTTCGTGGGGACATAAGGACAGGATCGTTGGACTGTTTTACTGGGATTATTGTATTTTGTACATATAATAATATATATATATATATACATATTTGAACATATCTATCTATATCTATAATTATATTTATATATATAATATGTTTGTATATAATTATTCAATTTCTATGCCCATGAAGTGCTTAACTTAGTAGACAAGAAGAAGCAGGAAAAATGCTTCAACGGCTCCATGCCCAGGTGCAAAGAAGCCTCAGCGAGTTCAGTTCAAGGCCTGGTTTCCGAAGGGAAATGATCTACCCTCTGGTAATTTAACATAGCTATTGAAAATGACCATTTATAGTGGATTTTCCCATTAAAAATTGTGATTTTCCATAGCTATGTTAGTTTACCAGAGGGTACTGATTGGTGGTGACTGGAACATGGCTGGACTATGACTTTCCATATTAATTGGGAATAAGAATCCCAACTGATGAACTCAGACTCATATTTTTCAGAGGGGTAGGTATACCACCAACCAGTCTACACATGGTGAATTTGATTTTGGAGTCGATCTAAATGGTCCATGTAGGCCTTCAGTCGAAGGCCACCGGTGTTACAACAGACCCCGCGGAAGTTTTTTCTGAGTTCGCGAACGCAAATTATTTTGGGCGAAAGATTTAACGAAAGTTTATTTTGATGAGGCAGTTTATCATATTGTCGTGTTTTTTAGATGTGCAGAGAGAGAATGAATTACCATAACATGGCCTTGCACCTACCCTTGGCCGTCTACAGTTGCCGCTCAGTTGGAGTTTGAGTACGTCTCAGCAGAAAAGCAACCATAACCCCACAAAAGAAAAACGTGGGTTCGCGAAAGATGCGCGAGATGTTATACAATGCTTTGGAGGAAATTGAGGATATCCGAACAGTGACTTGTTGCATTTCACCAAAGATTGATCATGATGAGTGGTTCTTTATCATTTCTTTATCAGTTTTCAGATGGATGATCTGGATGAGAATTTTGAATCATTGTGATTACCCTCTGGTAAACTAACAGTTTGCTATGGAAAGATCCACCATTTTTTATAGCTAGGTAAACCATCTATAAATAGGCCATCTATACCATGGCTATGTTAAATAAGCAGATGGTATTTCACTCCCAGAGTTCAACTCTTGGATTTGGATGGACAGATCAATGACTGTATGTTTCTTCCGGGTTTACCTGACCACAGTAGTCGAAGGAAACGCGGGTTTCAAGCACAGTACCTTGAAGACAGCCTAACTATATGGGGGCTAGTCCAAAAACAGGGAATACCAAACTGGCAGTTCAAATAATAAATAGTAGTGTGCTGATCAACCATCATTTTTTTCAGTGAATTTTCAAACAAGGCCATGTGAGATCATTCTAACCCACGCAATGCTGTTGCGGAAGCGCCATGATCATATCATGACAACAACACTCAGCGGGCCAGGTGATAGCAGAGCAGTAACCAATTCATGTCGGCTTCTCCATGGAAGCAGGAGGACACCAGAAAACCTGGGCAGATTGTCAACTGGAAGTGGGAGAAACGAAAGTGAAGAGACGTCTTCAAAACGATTATGAGACCACAAAACGGTAAACCTGTAGCGAGAAAATCATATTGCAATCTTTTTTTTTGGTGGTTTACCTTATGGTCAAATTATCCATGGAATCCTGTTGGGCACTCTGTTCGCAGCATTTTGTCTACCAGGAATTGATTGAATTGGTTTGGATTATCCCACAGGGAGATGTATAACACAAAATTTCATAGCCATCTTGGAGTCAAAGGAAGAGAACTGGAAAAACCTATGATTGTCCTTGCATTTGGCAGAGCAGATTTTGAGTTCAATGGAGCAAACACATTTTTTTCACATTTTTTCCGGGGCCCATTGTATCGCGATGCAACAATTGTAGAGGCCGGCGACGTTGCAGGACGACTCTAGCGGCTTGCATTCTAATGCTGCCGATGTCGTGACAGCGCCTTTCCAGCGCGACAAAAAAAGCGTTTCAAACAGCGTCAGGATGGGGATTTGAGGTTTGGCGAGAATGATGATGTATGTTGATTGATCACAAAATCAGCGGCCAATTTTGTTAGGAATTTGGAACAGATCAAACACCGACAGCAACATGTTTGTACAGATGCTGGAATACAGTACACATGATATTTGAACCGACACTATTGACATCCAATTACAATGTGGAATCCAACTATATCCATGCATACTATGAGTTTCAGGAATGTGCACATGACATACAGGGTATGTAAAAACGACCTCCCTATGGTCCATATCCCATGGTTTCAGGATCCACTTAGTGGAAGCAATGCAACTTGGATGATCCTCAAAGTTCCTTCCAGGCGAATTATAGCGACCTCACGATCGTGACGTCACGACGTAAAAGGTGGTCGTTTTTCCCAGTTCTTGTTCTTGACTTGAGACTTGAGCTGTCTCCAAGGTCCTGTTACTGGATAGTCAAATAAGAGGTCTAGCTGCTACCTGGTTCATTGGAAATGGTATGATGGATTCTGAGATGTGCGAATCCCAATCAGCCAGCTAAAGCATATTATATAAAGCAGAAAGGGCATGTTGCATGGGTTTTCACTGCTCTGTTGGGCAATTCAGCAATTCACTACGACTACTACCAAAAATATGCTTCGGTACCGAAGGAAGCTGACAGAACATAGTCTATAGTCAGATGGATCTATAGCAACCCGAGAAAGATGGATGTTAACATATAGTCTATAGTCCTGGAAACTAAAGTCTTTCAATTAAGAAACAATGTCATTGATACATGTTTAAAGTATACTTTAAAATCATATACATGTCATACTAACGCTATACCATCTTGGTGGATTCCACTTGGAAACCGGTCGAGTTGGCCTTTGTGACTGGAAGAATTCCCAGTGGCTAAGCGGGTTTCAATATGTTTCAATACCAAATATGGTCATGACTTGGATGATTTTGGGGTAGCTTCATTTTAGGAAATCTCAAAAAAAACCCTCTGGTAAACTTACGTTACATTTTCAGTTTGCTATTGAACATGGCCATAGAAATAGTTTATTGAACATGGCCATTTATAGTTGATTTACCAACTAAAAATGGGGATTTTCCATAGTGATGTTCGTTTACCAGAGGGTAATCAGCTATATAACAAAACTCTTTGGCCCATGGCATACCTCAGTTGACCCACGCGGGATTTGAGCTTCAACATCACTGCGCAAAGCCCCGCCGTGTGCGGCGCGTTGCGTGCGCACCCGGGGCCACAACGGGCGCGTTGCGTTGCGTCGAAATGTGGAACCTTGGCTGCGAAGAATTTGTAATGGGGGATTTCACCTAGGAAAAAAGGGGGATTTAAACATAGTATGATCTAATTGATACATAGATTAATTGATAGATCTAATTGATTAATCAATGGGGATTAAACATAGTATCTATCAATGGGGATTTTATAGATCTAATTGATTTTTGTTCGCCAAGCTGGTTGAGATGAGTGGAACATAGTGGAACTGTTAGAATGATAGATATTAATCAAACTGGTTAAGAAGCGGGGGCACCGAGGCACCGTGTGGCATCAAATCCCTACTTTGTTGCACCGATGGAGAGGTAAATCAAGCATTGTTTCATGGTGATGGGATACAGGTAATACGGGATACTCCAAATTTATCCAGGGTATTTCATGGTATACTTTGCAATCTTCAAGGTCTCAAGAATTTAAGAATGTTTCTGAATGTTTGGGGAAAAAATGTTGCTCTTCGTTGTCAGTTGGAATTAAAGGTCCCTAAAAGTATTATATATATATATATATGTGTTGCCCCTGTCCACATGGCACTGTTTGCCTCCAGAATTCATTGCTCTATCTACGTTTTGCTCTGGTTTTGTTGCCCAAATATCCGTGATATCCATGGATTCTTCACTAAATACACGATGTGGGAATCAAACCATGGCAGAAGTCTGGAAAATCCCTTTATTTTATAAGTATAGAGTGTTTTTTTTGTGGAAAGATATGGAAAGATCATCTAGAAATCATTAGTGAAAAACTGACCATTGCCATTGCCATGTTTGATTCTTCGGTCAAGAAACTGGGCTCTGCTTGCAGACCAGGTAGCAATGCAGAAAGTGCGAACTGGAGGCCCTTTGATCCCAATCCATTCTTTGTTTTGAAACAGTTCAAGTTGCTGGTGAAACATGTACCCTCTGGTTATTTAACATAGCCATGGAAGCCATGGCCCATAGAAATAGATGGTTTACCTATGAAAAATGGTGGATCTTTCCATGGCTATGTGAGTCATAACCCGATGGTAGATGTTCCAAACTAAGTCAAACTATAGTTGAATCAACAGCCATTTGATCAAAAATCATTGACCATAAATCATTGCTACAACTTACCGTTTGGTGCAAGCCTCGGATCGGTGCCAGTGATGTAAGAAGCCATCGAAATATGGCTATGGATCAATACCTATAAAAATACCATTTTTAGGGGGATGAACATCCATTTTAACCCATCCATTTTAACCCAGCCATTTTGATGTGAACTACAGGGGGATAGGGTTCAAGAACCCATCGAAATATGAAGCACACTGTTTGGGAAACGCATGTTGATCTCAACTTGTGCCGCACATCATCCTTTTCATATGCCCCATGTTTTCCCCGGCACATCCCGTTCGGCAGGTAATGTGGTGCTCGACTGGAGTCCCAACCTCCAAAATGGCGAAAGATTGGAACGACCTGAGCTGACCAGGAGATGCCGTCGACATCCGATTGGAAGGGTGAAACCTTTGTGAATGGTTGGTGGATGATGTGGATGATGTGGATGATGTGGATGTTGTTTCTGTTCCCCAGGTGAGGGTCTCATAGGGTCTCTAGATTTTGACGAAGGTGCAACTCCCTCCTGCTCCTGGTCTCCTCCTCCGCCAGCTCTGGATGCAGCTAGGCACGCCTGGACCCGAATACAAGCCAGAGAGAATTTGCAAATAGAAACCAGAAAAAATGTCAGAATATATGAGTCAGATAGAATGCCAGAAGATTTGCCCGATAGAATGTCAGAACGTATGTCAGATAGAATGTCAGAGCATATGTCATATAGAATGTCAAAATAATATATGTCACGGTGGGGGTCACTCGAAGTAAAACAGTTTTTGTGAAACCATTGATGGAACACTATTTCAATATATGATATGTTTCGTTTTCCATTTGTTTTTGCATCTATGCTATTGTCATAGACCCATACTGGTAGTTACTTGTATCTAAAGCATTCTAAAGCATTCAGCAAGCATCTAAGACTTGTTCAGATAAGGCTCGACTATGGAGGAGAAACCCAAGCAAATCCAAGTCAAATTGGACGTGCATTTGGATTGGCGGGCATGGATAATATTTCAATGCAAAGAATGCAAAGGGATGTAAACCCATACCCAATATTGATTAATATTGTCAGTAATCAATTGTAATGTTTGCTAATTACTCTATGTACACCTATCAACCATCATGAACTTCATGAACCATAGGTGACAAGGCCAGTGATCTCAGCAATTGAGATACACCATCAATCCAAGTTAACCTTCCTTATATGTCAATCACAACCCGAGTTATATATATATATATTTTACATAAGCTGGTATATAAATGGTTCCCTGTTTGAATGATCCCCTATTATTTATTGATAGACATGTTACACACATGGGACAATCATATGGATCCTTATACTTGGGTATGGATCAAATTTAAACCCTTATGGATCCCTATGGGACCACAGATTTTAGTCTATGTTTAGCATTGATCCTGGATCAAAAACCATCCAATTAAATTGGTGTAGCCATACCTTAATAACAATTAAATACAATTAAGGGCTACCTAGTAAACCGTAACCCTGACTTTTCTTAGGCTTTAAATATAAACCTCGGGTGTTTCAGGAATTCATGGAAAACCTCGGGTTTAGTTGGAAAACCACGGGTTTCCCCCTTGCCCTCTGCTCAGGCCTCGCCAAGCCACTTTTGATAATGTTTGGGTTCCATTTTTTGTAGCCATTTGTGGGTTTCCTCACCGGGATGTAGCACGATATATCAACATGGTTGGATTTTTGGATTGAAGAATAACAAATGGGGTGATCATTGAAAAATATACAGTAACCAAATCCATGCAAGCCAGCAACATTCAAGTTTAGGAGGTAGTTGTATACCTATTTTATCTTAATTTATCTTAATTAATCTTAATTTATCATATATGATGGGGAAAAGTTCGGGTTTGCTCCAAACCCGTACTCAACCCGTAATAACCCGTAGTATTTCTGGGAAAACCCTGGGTTTCTGCAAAAACCCTCGGGTTTTTCAAACCTGTACTGAACCCGTATACTAAACCCGTACTTGACCCGTACTAATCCGTACTTTCTGTATGGGTTTAGATGGTGGAGATTTCACTGGAAAAAAACGGTGAGCTTTGCCAGGGAAAAGACCGCATCAGCATGCGGGACTTGATCTAGCATGGAATTCAAAAAAACAATAAGTCTCCAAAGATAATGGGGTTTTGGAAAACCTCGGGTTTTGTGTGTAAACCCCGGATATTTGAGCAAACCCTAGAAAAACTTTGGTTTTGGATTTGTAAGGTACATGCATGTTTAGAATTAGTGGGGCACATGTTTAATTGTCACCCGTGTTTATGAAAATTGTGGTCCAGTTTCAATATTGCTTGCAGGATCTTTAGCAACTCCCGCACCGGGCGCACCGATTGGCATCGCAATCAATTCGTCCTTGGGCCGCGTCGTAGTGTTGGGGAGATGGTTACCCTGGTCATCAGAGATGTGGGATTTGCTAAAGATGTTTTGTTTGTTGAAAAGATCCCATTGGGAAATCTTGGGAAATCTATAGAATATGTTTTTTTTGGGGTCGTTTAGCGAAACCCAGTCTAAAATCCGGATGTGGATAAACAAACCAGGATCATGACGGGGATAATGGTTTTGAGGTAGATCGGTTCTTGACACTACGCATTTCCAGTGGATACATGGCTGTGTTCAACAGTTTTGGATGACTTTTGTTTGAAATGTTAACTGTTTGGATCTGAACGACTTGCTTTCATTTGTAATGAGCGTCAAGCGGTGATATGCGCCTCATGTTTGCTTTGATAATCCAGCCTGAAAACCGAAAATCTTTATGTTTATCGATGTTCACTATCTACGGATGTTATGTTTACCTACAAAGAAAGTGAAACAAAGTGGCACTGGTGTCATATTGTTTGTTAAATACATTGGACTGGTCAGATATCCATCGACTAGTACTCTTCAGAAATGGGTCAGCACCCATGAACCATCGGGCTAGTCAGGATTCAAAATTGATGGATTTGAAATGATTAGAAACCATCAACATGGATAACAAAAGAGCTATTGGGTATAGTTATGTCTAGTTTACTATAGTAAACATTTACAACAGGTACATGAACGTCGTATTGGTATATGAATACCCATCTAAAACCGTCCCTTTCTCCAAGCTGACCAGCGATGTTCGCCAGGTGCCATTGCCGTCTCGCCCTCCGTGCCTGAGTTGAAGTCGGAGTTCACCGAATTGTCTGGAGGAATTTCCCTGTTTCACATCATGGGTTCGTTATGCGTTTTTGAATGGGAGAATCAGCCAGAATCATCTAGAAATATGGGATTAACATGGGATTAATTCATGCTAATTCTGCAGATGTTACCATTGCCATGTGTGATTTCAAGGGATTTCTCAAATTTCACCAGGGATGTGGATCGAACATGCTGTAGCAAACAAGAACATGAGATTTTTCGAGCGAACATGAGAATTTATGCAACCACCAGGATTCAACACGCCAAATTGAGGATTTCAATTGGATTTCTCCAGGATTTTCAGCAAGTGGGTTTTTCACGTGAAATCTTTCCAGGATATGGTTGGGCGAAGACCGTGAGTCAGTTTCGACACGCAGAACTTAGTTTGCTAAGTTAGCTCTGGATCCTATTCCTTCTTTGTGGTAGCCCTCGACGCACCGACGCAAGTTTGCTAAGTTAGCTCTGCGTTCTTTTTTTCCTGCTTTGTGGCAGCGCCCAACGCGCCGCCCGCCGTCCGACACAGAAGCGGGCGGCCGATGCAATCGCCGCCGTCCGGCACAGCCCCTCTGCGCCCGACACAGAAGCCCCGCGGCCGACACGCCCACCCGACCGGCCGACTCACCCCACCGACACAGACCCTGTCCCCGTATTGTTTTTGCACCCGAAGAATTTCGTGCTCCAACAATGGCCAGTTCTTACAGTTCCTATACAGATTCCTACGGCTTCCAGAAGGCGAACATGCCATGCTGACCAGTCGACCATTCAAACATGATTCTTTGAACTGATGGATGTTAAAAAAGCTGCACATACTTATTTTATATATATATATATGTTATATAATTACAAATTTAAATAAACATACTTGTCCCACTAATTGACTTATTTGGGAAACCCTCCAATTTCTGCATACACTGGTCACCGCCACCCAGGCCCGAGAAGCCGCCAGAGGAATATGTGGCTCCCAAGCATCGGCGCCATTTGATCTACTTAGTGCCTTGGACCAAAGCTTAGAAGTTGGGGTTATAAAATGTTATATGTGTTATAACTTATTGGGGTTTTGATGATTTTAATCCATGAAACATTGGGTTTTTGATGGTTTCATCCAAAGCGGATTTGAATGTGGTTTATTCCACTGATAAAATGGGGAATGAACTATCAAACATATAGGAAACCGATTGGTTGGGTAGTTTGATTTGTACCAACTTTTCATATATATAATCACTGACTGGCATGAAATTAGCCATGACATGCCATGAACCCTAAATTTGGATGGTGCGAAATCTGTGAAAAACTGAGAATGTCGCAAACATTCGCAAACCACACACTTGGTTTGGTCTCTCCTTATTGACCTTTGAGGATACCCAAATTTGCTCCATGCACACTGCAACAATCGCGAAGGGCATTCCCCAATTTTGGGCACGGGATCACCGAAATACAGAGGACGATTTCTTCTATGTTTTTCATACCTTATAGTTCTCGTAAAAACATGGGGTACACTCAAAAATCGCATGTGTCTATAGCACATCCACCGACATAAAATGGGAATTTCCCATGGTCCTCCACTTCTCCAAAAGGCGCCTTGCCAAAACACTTCAGGCCTTGTACAGAGACAAGGTGGACCAACATCAGGTGGCGGGATGCCTTTGGTCAGTTTCTTCACCCCCCCAAAAATGCAACGTTTATTGGGATACTGATGAAACACCCATAAATTTGGTTTGAAAACTGAATTGGGGAGGTCACCATGTCACTATTTAACAGTTGGGATTGCATAACATGTGCAATTTTTTTTGATACCAGGAGACCCTAGCCTTCCCCATGGCCATGATGTGAGACCACCTGCTGAGACATCATGGTTTATTGTTTTTTGGATACCAAACATACAACGGTAGGCTGGATTCCGCTGGTTTCCCTTACTTGTGACGTGTACTTGTGAAGACCCTTGACGACCACTGAAACCACCGCTGATTGGGACAAAGTGAGGGATGCGTGGTTCAATAGTATTTAAGCCCCCCAAAGTTGGGATGTTTAGTGAGATTTATTTATTGTTAACTACTAATTCTACATATCTATGTTAGCCATGAACTCACGTATGTTGGCATCCTTTGATCATAGATTCTCAAACCACAACCCAGTCGAACCACCCCCCACTGTAGGTTTCTTTGGTTGTTATTGTTCAGTTAATTTGCTGTCAATAGGTGCGAGTAGCTGCTACTAGCAACTAGTTTAGTATAGTTATTTGATGTTATTTGTATCAAACCTTATTCAGCACTATTTGTACCAATTAGGTAAGTATAAGGCAACCTGTTTTTTGAAGGAGGGTTGAGGTTCAAATAGCGCAACATAAGGTGTTCAAACAAGAACAAAATAGTGCACACAAAGATTTTCAAGAAAAGGAAAACCAATGAACTTTGCACGTGTCTATGACTTGTGCAAAACATATTATCGACTAGATTTTTTCTTGTAGTGCAGAGCTCAAAGATCAAAAATATAGTTGTCAATGATGTCCCCCCACTTGGGAAACATGTCACAAAGTAAAAAAAAAACATAAAATGTTCAAAAATCAAAAATAAAAACGTGTTGGGACTGAAACAGCTGCGATAAAATACTGCACACATCCTGGCTACAACTCCTGCCGTTCTTTTTGGCCCCCATACTTTTGTGCGCAAAGGAAAACATCATATTGTGGCATGAAAAACGTAAACACGTGTATCAATGATTTAAGACGCATCATTCTTCCAAAAAAAGTGTTTATTGACTGCGATTAGGGCTTATTAGAGAATGTTGAGTATGTTTTTTGCTTTTGGGCAGCATTTTGTTTTTTTTCCTTCCGCATTCTACCTTTATCAGCCGTTTAGCATATTATGTCTTTGAATCTAAAAGCAATGTTGGTTCAATTTGTCTTGAGACTTCATCTATCTCAGCATTTGCAGGTGTTGTTGCCCAGACTCAAAGTGCCTATTGCTACCTATTAAGCTCTAGTAGATGTCTCGCAAGTACATGTGCAGGTACAAGCACAAAGGGCCGCTCATAATTCCGCACAGGTTAAAGGTTGGTGCAGCAGTGCAGCAGCTAGGTGCCACTTCTCATGGATAAAGACCTCCCTCACAAGATCCTGAGCACGACCCTTGCAACAATCTGGAACCAGTCTCTCTAATTACCCTCTGGTAAACGTTTACATAACTATGGAAAATCACCATTTTTAACGGGAAAATCAATTATAAATGGCCATTTTCAATAGCTATTTTGACATAACCAGAGGCTAAGAATGCAGCTCTGTCCACTGTCTTTACGACTCTGGGACACCGTGGGATCGGATGGGATTCAATGCCCAGACATCACACACTATGTCCAGGCCCGATGACTGCGGTGCAAAAAATCACCTGGTTCAAATTGATGGTTGCTATTTGGATTCGGTCCAGCACCCAATAGCCAAAAATCAGAGATGATGGTAGAACATACAAAATCGACACTTGTTTGCACCAAATACATTTTGTGAAAGTATGTCCTTAGCGCATGTGTTTGAACAAAATGCTTCACTCATCGCACAGCTGTCAGCACAATGAGTTGCGGCACTCAGATCCCAATTCTAGCTTTTGGATGCGCCAAAATCAAGATTGTGTTTTCTTGTCCCAACAACACCATTGCGAAATTGTGACTTTAACAACGAAGATTTGTGCGAGAAAAACAATCCCAATTGATAGGCACCAAAATATAACCAAGCAAAAGATCTTGTGGAACGCGGAAATCTGGATTCAATTGCAGCCAAAGAATGAAGAATTTCAGGGTGAGTCCAAAGAACCAATTTTGGCATTTCAAATAGTGCACGTTCAAATTTTAAATTAGTGAAAAAGTAGATTTTCAAAATGGCCAAGTTCCAAAATGTGCCAATCTGAGCAAGGAAAAACATTCAGGTTGTTTCAAATAAGAAACCTACACGGGTGTCTTTTCTTTGGGTTTTGCTTTGAAAATCTATGATTGAACCCGTTCCTTTCAAATCTCCAGATATTTACTAAACAGTAATTGAAAGGATAATCAAACCAATATCTGGTAAATATCCAGGATTTCAAATCAGTAATTGAACCCTCCAGATATTTACGCACATTGACAGATGACAGAATGTTTCAACAGTAATGTACCATACCCCAGGCCGCGATGTTGGCGGCGACCACCGGCGCCGTGTCAAACTCAGTGGTTGGGAGCAAACAGTTTTTCGGGTGTTGGAGTACGATTTATCCGCGAAAAGTGTGGGTTAACCATTTTAAAATGAATATCAGGGTTTACCACCCCCCTAGTTTATAGCTATGTTTAGCCAGTTGAGCTTCCCAAACATGTCTAACTCAAACTCATTCATGTGTGATAGATCGATTATCTGTTTATTCATGGTAATTACCCATGGTCTTCGCATTTTTTTTCGTTTCAGAAGTACCCCAAGTGCCGCTCAATCGATCTAGCAAGATCCCATCTGTGGCTGATTTGGTTGGCCGTTCCAGATATTCCATGATTTTCCTGCACGTCAGGTACTTTGAAGTTTTGATGATACCTTAGTTTCTGTTGATTATAATGTGATTATACACAGTTATCAGTTATCATAATCTTTAACCAAACGGGTAGTTTGAAGTGTTGATAATACCTGAGTTTCTGTTGATTCAACGACTGTCAGTTATCAACATGTTCATTCTCTGCGGGAACCCAAACCACCATTGAAAAATATATGTTTCATGGTTGCAAGTTCCCCCCGGGTATAAGTTAGTTCATCAACCCAATTGTACATTCTATAATCTATAGATATATTTACAACATACCATTATAGCATACAAAAACCAAAAACTATATCTAAAATTGTCTCCCATAAACCTTGCCGCCGTTAACCATAGTTAATTTCTTGGGCACCTCGTGCTTTTTCGATCGCAACGACTTCCATTGGCCCATCTATTGGGTCGGTTTGCCGAGGTGCCCTCCAGTCCATCTGCGGCAGAGGTGCTGCAGGGAGGCTTCAAAATGAATCACGTGATAATGGATAATAATGGATAATATGGATAAAATGAATCGATTGAGAATTATCCATTATCATCCATTATTATCCCACATTATTATCCCACAATAATGGATGATAGTGGATAATACGTGTGTTTAGTTTATGTCGAATTTCATGATTTGAGGCACATAAAATCCTGATTTGACAGATAATGCTGTTTGATGATTTGAGCCACTTTCATTGACTGATATTTTCCAGAGGGGTTGAAACCACCAACCACATGAAGATTGAATAACAAACAGACCTGTTGGTTGTGCTGAGGTTTTTGAGCATCCACATGCGGAGCAGTCATTTGACGCATACCTCAATCCAACCGATCCAAATTTGAGACCACCTGGTAGGCTCATAATCACCACTGGAGGAGGGTATACCCCATTCATATGCAATTAATATCAATGATCCATACCTTTGATATACTGATATTGATTGAACATGAATTGTATGGTTGAAGATCATCATTGATGAGTTTTATAAGAATTGTTATGGTTGATATTCTTAGATAGGCAAATGATTGTGGTAGTCCCATTGATGTATATAAGATTATATTTTATAGTGAGTATATTGAATAGTATTGCTATACCCTCTGGTAAATAAACATAGACCCTGAAAATCACCAATTTTTAATGGAAACTAGTCTTCCAACCCCTATCTGCCAGGGTCTATGTTAATTTACCAGAGGGTATTGCTATAACACCCATTGTTATTTGGAGGCATACCCCATTCATCTCCGGCGTTTCATCCCCGGCCAGGCAGGACACTTGGCAGCAACCACAGGCGCACATCAAATGGTGGACGGGCTATGGTGAGTTAGTTTACCTGTTACCTGGTAAATTAATATAGACCCTGAGAATAACCCATTTTAAGTGGAAAGTAATCGTCCAATGCCTATTTGCCAGGGTCTATGTTAATTTACCAGAGGGTAATAAGTTAGTTATATCCCCTTGTAAGCCAATTGCAGTCTATTATAACCAGTTACTGTGCTAAACCCAGTAAAAAGACATCCCCAAAATCACCAGAGATGCTGTGGTAGTTCGCTACCTATCCATGGTCCATCAAAGTACGCATCGACCTTCAGCCTTGATCATGATCCACTTTTTGGCGTTGGCAAAGGGGGCAGAATATGATCTTGAGCGATCTTGAGCGATCTTGAGCCTTTTGAGCCAGTAACTGGCTGCCAGTTGTTAAAGAATAATGTTAAACATGAGTCGCAATGGCTCCATTTGATGTGTTGACTTGTGAAAAACAATCCTTAAACCCTTCGAAGATGTGCTGCCATTCCATTGCGGTTAAATATGTTCCAGAACCGGGTTCCGAATAGATTTTCCTGTCAGGTGATAGGACAAGACTTGTCAGATGTGGGAGAGCGTGTCAAACGGATATTGTATGAGACAAGCTCAAAGTTGGACGAACTTCCGGATGATTTACTTCAGCTGTCCCACTCAACGACAAACTGTTGGAAGTTTCAGTGCGTCTTCAAGGCTTCAGGTTGATTACGCATCGAATTAATCCTGCCACACAGATCCAGTGAACTATTGCCACAAAAGACATGTTTTTTCCCCCCACCCGTTGGGGGGACCCCGTGATCCTTTAGAAAATGACCAACCTTTGGGTCCAGTGGTACCCTGGTAGCTTCACCCCATAGCCATTTAGGTTACTATAGACCCCCAGATCCAATGGTTTATGAGACACGATGTTCAGCTTACAGTAAATGTTCCCATCAAATGGCGATTTTCGACTTTGCCAAAGCGGGTCATTTCTGGCCAAAGCAATTTGAGTGTCACTGAAAAAGGGTTTTTTTGGGTTGACCGTTTGTTCATGGCGACCGTGATGATCATCGGTACCCCATTTCTGGTCCCATGCAGGGCATTTTCCAGTGGAGAGTCAAGATTCAAGGCACCGGGGCAGCCTGGGCACAGCAGTGCCGGGTGGGGGTGGTGATGAAACAAAGTGGAACATGGTGAAACCAATCAAGCGCCCAACTTTGTATTTTCTCTATCTTTGAGCCGTTTGGGAATATTTTTTATTACTCCCAAAGATGGGATGTTATCCCAAAGCTTGTCGTTGAGGCCTCTCGGAGCTGACCATTAGGGGAATGCAAACCCAGCATATATCCCATTGTCATCTAACCGTTTTCAGGTGAGTTGTTGTAATTTATCAAGATTACTCTAACTGGATTATACCCCAAGTGAATTAGTTCGATTAGTGGGTTAGACAGTAGGTTTCTCCCACCGAATTGTACCCAATGTGAGCCCAATGTGAGTTATTGCATTTATCACTTAACTTATCATTTATGATTTATATTCCCATAGTTGTGTTGGTTAACCCACTCATATTTGTTGTTGAATCCTGCTTTAATCCCGATTACATAGCCGTCACATAGCACTTCATACCCACTATATTCTCACAAATGACAATGATCAACTACCACTACCACCTGGCTTTGTGTTCATTGATAATCATAATTCATCCAGATACGCTGATAAATTATCAAATGTTCCCACCAAAGAATTACCATAAGTTGGGGACTAACTTGATGATATTGTGGTTGTGACTGGGTAATAAACGTAATATCACCCGGTCCCTTAATCATGGTTGGGAACAGTAAACCCCTTATTGGGTACATTTATCACATCCTCCTAATATCAAACACCCCAATTCTATGGTCCCAGAATGTGCCAAATAAGTTTTTGTTTGTTTCCGATCCCCTACTAAACCATGATTTCTCCGGGTGTGTTGAATGTTAGGGCCATAGATTATAATATATTATAATCATCATATCATCCAGTGAATCACTAATGATCTAATATTATAATGCTAGTTGGGAATATTAACCATATGAAGATCTTGTCGTGCACATGAATACCTATGAATGTGAATTACTAAAACCATTAGAATGGTGTATTATCTACTATAATAGTGCATAGTAGTACCAAATTATGTATATTACCATATAATATTCCCATATTATGTCAATACACCATTGATAATTGAAGGTTAATGGATGTTAATGGCATAGTACTGTTGAATAATTCGCCAGAATATACACTCTTAGGTCGTATAAAAGTAACAGTACTATACCATCAACAGTACTATATAATATGTTTAGAAAAAACTAAAGTATTACATAACAATTACTATATTACCATAAAAGGTACTTTAGATAACATATAGCAATAGTATAACATATACTATTACTGCTACATTCTAATAACATCTAGCTATTGAACATGGCCATTTCTAGTGACTTTTCCCATTAAAAAAACCAGCCATAAAAGGTCCCGCCGTCACGCGCCTGACGACACGGAGCCCGCCCTGACGGCGCATACGGCAGCAGTGCCGTGTCGATGCGATGAGGATCCCATGTTTCTGGCAAGAAAATCGATGTTTCTGGGTCAATTATACTGGGGTTAAATAGTATAACTGGGGTATAATAGATGACAATAGATGTATCTATACAGTATCGATACTGTTTCTGGGGTTAAATAGATGTATCTATACTGAGGTTATAGATACTGTTTTTTTGGATTATAGATACTGGCAATAGTATAACATAGTATAACATAGTATCACTGGGGTTAAAGTCTACTAGATTTATAAGCCACTGGAAATCATCCCCAAATAGCCGCAAGATTCAGGTGAATGTGAAATATGATAATTTACCCAGATGTTTGGAACATGTTTTGTTTTTCCATATATTGGGAATGTCATCATCCCAACTGACGAACTCATATTTTTCACAGGGGTTGAAACCACCAACCAGAAATAGATGTTTGGAGTACCCTCTGGTAAACTAACGTAGCGAACTGGAAAATCTTTGGACAATCTCTGGAAAATCGTCCATGTTTGATAGGTAAATCAACATCAAATACATGAATCAACGAACTCAAGGGCCATATGTTCAATAGCTACCACAGGGTCATATTTCTAGAGAAATTTCATGGGCTATGGTGAGATTGTCCACTGGTTACCCTCTGGAAAATGAACAGTTCGACCCTGAACATCGCCATGTTTTCTAGTGGAAACTCACTAATATGATGAGAAACAAAATATGTAAGGGTCGAAGTGTTAATTTACTGGAGGGTAATATCTATAGATGAATTTGGATGTACTTGGGGATGTTTATGGCGATGTTTGTGGATTTTAGTGGCTACTTTTCGACGCTTATGGATATTTATGCGGGATATCTATAAATTTCTACGTGACGTGGAGATTTATGGGGATGTGGGGATGTTGTGATGTCTACTGAGATATCTATATCCAAACTATGACTATTGGATACATATATTTTTTGTTTTCCATCACAAATTGGATCTAGATGGATTCGGACCATCTGTCATCATTCTTATTGCAGAAATTCCGCTGCGGTCTTCTGCGAGCCGGATGGCAGCTTTTTGTCAACCTGGGAATGGCGAAAAGAGAAGAACCGCCTCTTGAATTCACCAATTGAGAACATGTTCGGATGGGATGGATATGCCCTTTAAATACACTTCCATACATAATCCAGCAATATCCAGGATATCAAATGAATGATGTAACAGCAGGTCCTGCAGATTTTTGGTCGAAACCAAGCCAATGGTGAAATCATTATCCGTAGAATCCAAAATGGCCCCGATTGTTTTCGGTGAAGCGGATCATGGTTCAATCCCCACGGTGCTTGGTTGAGAAACAATCGAATCTAATCCTGACGTAATCACCCCATGGGAAGACATGTTTTTGATGGGTTGTTTGTTGTTGTTTTTTTCCGATGCAGCCAGGATATTGTTCCCCACCGGTCAGGTGAGGGTTGTTAGATTTTATGTCATCTGGCCCGCCTCGGCCTCCACCTCCTCTTCCTCCTTCCTCCGCCGGATCTCAACTGCAAGCTCTAGATCGCAGTATTCCCCGCCAGACCTCAACCACAAAGAATCTCCGAAGATATACCAAACAGAATGCCAGAAATAATATCAGAAGATATGCCAGAGAATGTCAGATAGAATGCAAGACAAAGTGATAAAGTGCCAAAAGAGATGCCGGAAAGAATGTCAGAATAGATGCCAGATAGATTATCAGAAAGAATGCGAGAAATGTCAGAATAGATGCCAGAAAGTATACCAAATAGGATGTCAAAAAAGATGCCAGATAGAATGCCAGAAAATAATGTGCGAATAGAATGTCAGAAAGAATGCCAGAATAGAACGTCAGAAAACATATGCCATATACACTTCCAGATGAGATGTCAGACACTATATTATCAAAATAATGTCACGGTGGGGACCGCTCGAAGTAAAGTATTTTTTCATCAGTGTGTCATAGATGATATCCCGCAATATATCCCGAAGGGTTGCGTTGATCCCTATGTGTGCCATAGTCGAAAGTTGGATCACACCCAGATTATGGTGGTGGGATGGCCAGGAGCCCCATTCATCCCATGTTTGCTCCCATTGTTGATGATTAACACCCTTGAAATCCCAGTCTACAACTATGATGGTTAAGTCCTCTATGATGGGATTGAACCATATAATCTCATGATCATCAGTATCCCATCCCATTTGATAGTGGTTATTCTATCCCTTGCAACTGAGGTGAAGGCTTCCGGTATCGGTTTGGACGAGCATGTGGAGGTGGTAGCGTCAAGGGACAGGGCCATGGTTCCTTCAGATTTATGGGCTGATATATTCCATGGCTAACAGCGGATGTGTTTTTTTTTGGCGGGGTTATTTACCAAAAATTGGGGGAAACCATGACTTGGAGGAAATGAATGCAAAATGAAAGGAACATGAACGGAAATAAATGCAACATGAAAGAACCATTAAAGGAAATTAATGCAAATTGAAAGGCAACAAAAGGAAATGAAAGAGAAACGTATGTCTGTTGACTTTCGACCAAGGATGCTTTCACATCCACAGAATACTGTAAAAAACTCTAGTATAGAGAGCCCACCACCTGAGAAGATGATAAGGGTGAAGGAAGACGATAACATGATTTGGGGACATTTGAAATGACATTGGATAAATCCTTGGATGGGCTATGGTTAGTTAACTGGTGATCATATGCCTGGGTGAGTTAGTCCGTAAAATGAACAAGTGATGTTTGGGGAGATAAACCACTGATCAGTGAGTTAATTCCATGGTTAATCTAAATACATTAATGGCTCATGGGAATAAATAGGATATAGACTATCGACAAGCCGGATATGGCGAGAAGGTTTTTGTTTAGCTTAACTTAACCATGAGTATAGCAGCATAGCACTCCCCAAATCCATGATCGATGAAACAAGTTGGAAACCCGGAAACTACTAGGAAAATCACAAGTAAACAATAGTAATCATACATAATATATATATATATATAGGATACTACAGCCAGGTTCTGGAAAATGACGCTGTTGAGGTGATTTTTAGTGACGCCCTAGAGGGGTCAAGTGACATCGACCTCGAGTATGTAAATGTATGTGTTTGCATGCATACCATTTGCATGGTGGGTTTCCTTAAAAACACACCCAACTTGAGTCGCACGTCACAAAATTGGAAATGCCCAGAATGTTTCTCTAAAAATGTCGGGTTGTGAACCTCTCACTGGTCGTGGAAAAACCAAGCATAGGCACTCATGGGTTTTGATGAGAAAGGTTTTTGTTTGTGGGTTTTAATATGTTTTGGCTTCCATCGTATCTTATCGTATCTTTGTATTTTTCAGATTTCAGATGATTAACGTTTGTGGTGGGTTGACATCACTATAGCCTTTAGCAAATTCAATCTGGCAGTTTAACTAGCATGAACCAATCTAGTAGATGAATTAGCTATCAAATGGTGTTGTCTTATTTTTTCAAATGGATTTTGACAAGACATCCCAGCGGACACGGACCATATGTCAGATAGAATGTCACAATATATGCCAATTAAAATGTCAAATTGGATACCAGAAAACACCTCATGCAATGTCAGCATATATATCAGTCAAGATGTTCGATAGACTGTGAGAATATATTTCTGACATTTTCTGACAGACTGACAGAATGCCAGATAAAATGCAAGGATAGATTATATATATTCTTATATATACACGTCATGATATTTGCCCCGGTTGCGCACGTTGCGGGTTTGATACTCCCCATTCTCCTCGTGGGACCTTTCCGGCCGCTAGGTGAAGCGCTTGGGGAAGCTTTTCGATGAGTGGATTGAGATGACACAACAAGATGTTGATGAGGTCTGCGGGGGCGAACTCTATGGTTTGGAACCTCTTACAATTGAATCATAGGAATCTGGGGTCTTAGGTGGTTTTAACCACCAAAAACGGTGGATTTAAGCGATTTAAACACCAAACGTGAAGATCCATGGCTTATGATTTGTAAGTTGTTGATCTTTTTGGATGGGTGGATATCTATACAGACGCTTTTTGGCATACACCTTTTTTCATTCCATGGTGGGGACTTTGCAGGTCGTGGAAAAAACACTGGGAAGATGCGGGCTAAGTCAACACTGAAAGATTTGGTTGGGCATAATGTATATAAGGGGGGTCAGTATACGTGAATAATCGTGAATATATATATATATATATTATATAATATCATATAATATCATAATATCACAACTTAAACAGTTTCGGATTACCCCTAAAAACAGGTGTTGTGCGATTTGACATTTTCGGTTTTGAGTATGTATATCGTGTTTGTTACTGTACGAAATGGTTGTGTGGTACCGGTATGTACGCTATCATAGTGGTTGGATGCATAAACGGAAAAATCGATTGAACAATTATTTCAAAGAGGTCATGTTTCCATGCATGGAGTATTTGTTCAGGATGGGTGCAGGTCAAAGTTCGACATGACTAGGTTGTGTGTTCACTGCGGCAAACTATTTTCACCTGTACTAAACATATAATTAGATTGGAAGGATGACGCAGTGACTAAATCAGTTGTGGAGTAAGGTGCTATCTAGCAGTCAATTTGTTTTTTGGTTAGTTATTTGGGTGCCAAATACTTTTGATTATCTTGTAACCCCAGCAACAACCCCCCACATATCTTCTTTATGTTTGCACAGAAATTTGGTATGGCTTGGTGTTCGATTTATCACATCAAATTGAAAAATGTAGTTCGTTCTTGCCCACAGGTCTACGAAAAACTGGGCCTCAACCGTGAAGGCGCTGAGGGTTTCTTAGGCCCTCTTAGGGTTCATCCTCCCAAGTTTCGCTGGGTCTACCTTTTGGAAATTGGTTTGTCTCGAATTGGGGTATGGATACCCCCAAGTCCAAGTTTCATCATGTACCCCATTCCCATGACGGATCCATGGTGCTGGTATATATGGTAACATGGATCCCATCAATATACCCCCTTTATGTTAGCATATATACCATACATGGATCCTATGGGGTACCCCATTTCGACACATGTTCAAATCTCTCCGGTTTATGATGTTTGTACTAAACACAGAGACTTGTTCCTTGCCGTCCATGGTTGTGTTTATTTGCAGTAGAGTACCCAGATTGCATCCCCATGCGTATGTTAACCTATGTTGATTATGTTGAGATACGCATTGTAAGCAAAATACCAGGGCCTTTGAAGTGTGGGACCCTACCATGATTTCATCACAAACTAGAAAAGATGCAACAACAGAAAATCCTTTAATTTTACTTGTTTTGACATGAACTCTTTTAGCGGGGTTGACCCCATTTTATGAAATTAATTACAACTTTGTGGAATTGGGGTCTCCTACTCCCAAAACGGGTTGGTTTAGTACACAATGACCACTTTGTTGTCGGCCCATTGGTACCCCACTGTTTGATACCCCCTTAAAAACCTGGCCATGAGGAACATGTCTTATATAGCACTGGCTATATCCCCATATTTCATCATGATCAAACCATGTTAACTAAAAACTCCATTCTTTGATGGTTTTTCCTACCCATTTCTATTGGACCATCCTTTTGTTTGTTTGTTCACCCCCTTTTTCCAATGCGATAAGTAGCAAAATTCCTTGGCACGCAAGACCTTGCTGGGGCAGGGAGCAAGACCTTGCGTCCGAGGGCAGTCACCTTTCCCCAGTTGTTGTGGGATGCGCGTACGGCCGTGATGGGTGGCACCAGTCGTGGTCATTGACGTGTAAGGGTGCCCACAAAAGTACCACAACAACAACGGTTTAACAAGTTTCTTTCACGAGGTTTGATGGAGGTCATAGGACCTTAATTAATTCTGGGGCAGTTTAATGCCAGTTTGGTCCGGGTTGATTTGATGGCCGTTCTAGTAAAAACAATGTTGACTTGAGAAGAAGAGGATACTGGACCACACATATCCGAATATGTTTTCGATGGTCCAGAATATACGTATATCTATTGAGCGTAATATAGATATATATAGATAGATCATTGTTGCTTCGTATAGGTAGGAAGAATAGATGGATGGATCGATGGGCAGTGGAGGATTTGGAGTTGGAATTTGGGTCGGATCAAACTATAGATACAGATTGATTGATGGATGGAACAAGAAACAACAGATAGATAGATTAGATTAGACATGATTAGACTAGATTAGATAATTAGATAGATAGATAGATAGATAATAGATAGGACATGCTCACTAACTCTGCCTACCTTTGTAATTTTTATGTTTGCCCTCGCCCACATTTTTGTCGCTTAGGCAAAGCCCGGCGGCAAGTCTTGGAGAGGCCGTGGGTCACCACGCAGATAGCATCGCCATATGAATGAACTGCATGAACATCGAGTGTCTAGTTAATTATTAACGTTAATTATTAACGTGAACATCAGGGTTGAAGTTGTTTTTCGACCCATATATGTATAGCCATATGAAATCATATGAACATATCAATCAAATTCATTCGTGTGAATTTGTGCCTCACAGGCAACCATTTTCTGGCCCATGCAGCTCATGATAATGTGCAGGAACATATACCCCAACTCCAACCATCAAATCAGGATATTGGGATTCGTTGACTTCCTTTGTTTTTTTTTCCCCCAGACATGAGATATGAAAAACAAACAAAAAAGCGTACAACTTGCAGTGTTAGTTGGAAAGGTGATGATAAACCGTTGGTGAGAATGTCCATGTTTTTTGAAAACAACCGCATGCGACTCGATTTCGAAACAATTTGAATGGGTTATTTAGCACCGTGATGTGCCCCAATGTAGATCATTTCCAAGGGACCAAACCATCGATGGTTACTAAGTTGTTTGTTGACCGGAAGAATTCATCCCCATACTACGTATATTAATTGGCTAAGTCACCATATTCACCATGTTTTTAAGATGTTTTATATTGATGGTTGGATCATGTGATGGTTGGATCCATGGTAAAACCCCCATGAAATCACCAGGGGCTTTTCCATGCGCCGGGCGTTTCGCCAGGTCGTTTGGATCGAGCCTCCAAGGCCCCTAGCAGTCCACAGGCGGAGTGACCAGTGCATGGATCATCCATTGCAGTTATAGGGACCCCTAAAAGAATTACCCTCTGGTTATTTAACATAGCCATGGGACATGGCCCATTTATAGATGGCTTACCTATTAAAAATATTTAAAAATGGTGATTTTCCATGGCTATATTAAATAACCAGATGGTAAGTGTCTGAAGTCTGAAGGCTAAACATATGGATTTCGGATGATTTCGGGATATAGGGGGTTCCATTTTGATGGGGGTACCCCAATAGCTGGATGGTTTAGAATGGAACATCCTCTTAAAATGGATGAGTTGGGGGTACCCCTATTTCAAAAAAAAAAACATATGATGGATAATTTAAGGTTGGGGGTTTCATGTGAATTATATGAAAAACAATGTACCGAGAGAAAAGAACCCAATTGAATACGAATGGACATACTCGATATATGCAAGCTCTTGAAATGTCCCTACCCGTGTTTTTTTCCGAATACAGCATGTTTCACCATTTGATTCGACAATCCCTAGTAAGAGCAGTAGCATTTAGCAAGCAACATGATTCAACTGATGGTCCTTCAACAAGGATTACACCCTCCCATCTACCAGTCACTGGGTTTCCACTCCTGGAGTGCCCATGTTGCTTCGTCCAATCCATCGCGGTAATAACCAATCATTGCCAACGCAATGTTGCACATTCACCAGGAAAAAAACTGGTTGGGCGATCCACATATCTGGTTGGTGGTCTGGAATGCTATGGAACATCACAATTTTTAATGGGAAAACTCACTATAAGGTTGGTGGTTTGGAAGATGACTGGATTATGACTTTCCATTCAGTTGGGAATGTCATCATCCCAACTGACTTTCATATTTTTCAGAGGGCTAGGTATACCACCAACCAGACACTCTGTTGTTGCGGGGGAAAAAAAAACTCACCATGGTTTCAATGGTTTCCTAACTCGAGATTTTCCCAGATACCCTCTGGTAATTTAACGTAGCTATTGAAAATGGCAATTTTTAATGGGAAAATCCACTATTTCTATGGCAATTTTCAATAGCTATGTTAAATTACCAGAGGGTACCAATCCATTGAATCCAGGGTCCAAACGTCGCGTCGCGTGGTGCATAACGCGCCCGACTTGCCCCGCAGACCACTCGCAATGAGGAGCTCGAGGTTTTGGAGGCTACGGTGGCAACGCTGATGGGCCCATGTAACGGGTACCGTTACTAAATCATCATAACAAGCAGCTTTCCCCCGTGAGAATATATGAGAATAGCATATAATTTAATATGTAATATTATTATCATATATTACCCAATGCTTCCAAAAGATAGGTTTACTAAGTCCGTTATCACAAAGGACAGGTTTGACTAAAGGCTACAATTTAACCAAATTGCAGGAAATAATGGAAGACATCAAGAACCATATTTTCACGGGCTTTTCACGGCCTTTTCACTGACTTTTCACCGCCTTTTCACATGTATCATAATAAGTTGTAATTTCATCAGAATTGCCCAGCTTCACAAAGGCTAGGTTAAACCTAGGCGTTGTGACTGGGTTAGTTTTTGGTGTCCTTTGAAGTTCTGGGTTGTGTAACAGCGAAAATGTGGGGCTCATATATCCGGTTTTCAGTGCAATCCACGTATTACAACGACCAGTTTATGGAAATACAATATGACATTGGCGATATATGGCGATATAATGCTATACAACGGCTATAGATAAATTCTAGGGGTTTTAAACCATCCAAAGTATGGGATTGAATCATCGATTTGATATATTTGATTGATAAATGGTCGTGGGATGATGATGTAGATATCTTTGGAAAACTGTAACCCCATAATTCCCTATATATATACACATACAATTTATAATATATATACAACAAGGGCCCTCACTGACGACAGCTAGTTTGCAACCGTCTGGCGACCCCTTTTTTTGGAACCGGGCGTGGCCTCAGTCTTGTCTGTATAAGGGCTGGCTACACTGAATGAGAATCGCATTCCCTTCTAGCCATTCCCGATCTTCTGCAGCGAGCTGCTCCAGTTCGGTGGTCGGGACATTGGATGTGACAATGAGAGCGACATTCCAAACCCAGATGCGATAAACATACATGCCTGTCGCCGAGTGCCCAAGTGAAATTTCGGCAGGCGGCGCCTGAAACAATTTTTTGTGCTTCAAGACAAGATGGACACTAGCTTCATCAAACACCACACACCGGTGCCGTAGCACATCATATTCCCTCATGTCGGGCTCCAACACCCCGGAACAATTGGTTTCATACGTGTGATCTGCGCCAAAGAGAGACCGTGCATAGACAGTCTTCCCCAGGCGCGTTGGGCCATTCAGCACCAAGAATTTTCGGCGATGCATAGGCCGCGTGAACTGTGGCAAGAACAGCTGCGTCACTTCTGGTAGTTCCACTGGCTCTTTCTGCAGTGGGCGCAAGAGCTCTGCTGCAGCAGCCTGCTGCTGCTGAATGTACAGCTCCCGTTGTTTCTGGCCATGGTACTTCAGGTTCTCACAGTAAGCACGAATGTTGCGCTTGCATTGGACGTAGTGCTGCCGGCACACTCCTTGTTAATCTTATCCCCCTGCCAAAGTCCAGTCACCCAGTCGGGGCTCACTGTGAAAGTCTGGTATGCTGGGCAAGTGGTCTGGCGAAAAATGGACCCTTTCTTCTCCACTTGGAGATAAAAGTGCCCTTGATCCAGTGCACGACGGACTGACCGCCCACGAGCCTGCGAGGAATCCAAGGAGATGTGCGGCTTGCACCCACGAAATGCCAAACTTTGTCCAGACAGATGCACTTGTCGCCCTGGCCGCAACATGCGGGCGCATGGGCCAGGAAGGTACGGTGCTAGAGCCTATCTGGTTCTGTTAGCCATCAGAACCAAGCATGAAACAGGACCGAAAAGTATGGGGAAGGTGCGTCCTCACATTGGGCTGCGAAAAAGAATGACTGGCACTGGGAATGAAAGAAAAAATGACATGATTCAGGCTTGCGAGAGAGGTGCCCGCATTGCTGCCGAGTCGCGGGTGTCAAACATCATGTGCAAGTGAATGGAAGGCACTCTGCGTTGCAGCGTCACCTCTGTGTGGAGCTCCAGGGCGGTGCTGACCCGTTCAAAGCGGTACTTGTTGCCGAGCTCGGTCATCCAACTTTGAAAGTCATCCCAAATGGCAAGCACCTGCGGTGCGTTTCGTAGGCCGGCACTGAGCAGATCAATGTCGACAGATGGTCCTGCCGCAAGCAGGTCCAAGGAAGGTTGATGCTCAATCATGCTAAAGGAGCCACTGTATCGGAACATAGTACCAGTGCCCTTGTATGCTTGCGGCGATGGCTCGTTGACAATCGGCTCTTCGACATGCCACCCTGCCAGTAGGTCACGTGCAGCACGTGCAAACTTCACAGGAATTTGCGGCAACATGTCGCGCAAAATCTGCGGCCTGTCGGCTTGTGCAAATGAAGCTCTCCACCGCTGCCGCTTGGCGTGTCCGTGCTCATTCCGAGCGGCCATTCGCTGCGCAGCCCATTTGTCGCGCAGCCATATCAGCAGCTGCTTGCGTGCCTCCCGGTCAGGGGGGCCGTCTGGCGGCGGCTGCTTACCACAGAGTCGCCGTCGGACAGGCATGGCGGCACTGTGGCTCAATGATCATGTTCTTGTTTTGCTGCGTGACATGAAGGGGCCCTCATGGGAAGTTAATACCCTGGCAGCTAAGCAGTCGATGACAAAGCGACCGTACAATGAACAGCATGCAATGCCTCACCATGCTCTGTCTGGATGTGGGCACGGCGGCGGCACCCAAACAGCAGACCAAGCCTGCTCGCAGGCATGAGGACAAGCAAGCTTCCCATAGAGGAGCAGGAGATAGACGCGTCAGTTCTGGACATTGATGAGTTCAAATTGGTTATAAATGGGAGTCTATAAGGTCGAAATGGGGTTATGACTACTTATAACTGGTGAATGGCCATAACTGGTATAATAGCTGGTCTTTCACAGAGTGCAATGCACAAGAGCGGGCCAAAGAAAAGACTACAAGGCAAACAAGTGTGGGCAGCGGCTCAGCAGCTTTGTTTTCGTCAAGTACGCACGGACTTTCCGCGCCACTCGAGACTGTTGTCCCAGCGCTTGCATGGCTGAAAAACCTTGGCAGGAGCATGGAGAGGACCAAGCGACGGGTATGGACTGCGACAAAACCCAGACGACAGCACGGACAGGATCGGTCGGAGGACCGCGGAGGACCAAGCAACGGGAAAAACTATGGAAAAACGGGGGCAAAAATGGCGGTCCTCCAAATCCGCCTCTGGGAGAATAGAATTATTTGTAGCTACAAGCGAGGTTGGAGGACCATGTTGAAGCATGTTGTTCTGTGTCGCCACCATTCTAAAGGTGTCCCTTCCCACAGGCATGGTGCTTTTCTTCCTCCTCTGGGTCTACAGACCTATACATACATATCTATACCTACGTAGATATATCTTTTCATCGACATTATATTATATATATATACATACCTTTCTCTCCATGTCTTTCTCTATCTCTCTATCGCTCTTTTATTCTCGATCTATATATATCTCCATATACATGTCTATCGCTATCTAGAATCGGTACTAGAATGAAATACTCTAATGACCGGAAAGCGGGATCTTGAGCACTTTCATGCTGACAGCTTTGAACCAGGTAAAACCAAAAGACTGATCTTTATGTGCACATCTCCTGTTTTTTTTCAAAATGCAGCATGGCATTGAATGCTTGAAATTCCCAACGCGAAGCATTGGCTTTTCGAACCGGATCACGAACAGTCCCGATCACCGACTTGCATCTCGAACATTCTTTTCCTTTCGACCCGGATCACGAACATTCCCGATCACCGACTTTCATCTCGACCATTGTATTGAAAAGTGAAACGAACGCATTGGGATGAGGAAGCGACCAGTTTCATATCAGCCACACATCTCCTGTTTTTTTTCAAAATGCAGCATGGCATTGAATGCTTGAAATTCCCAACGCGAAGCATTGGCTTTTCGAACCGGATCACGAACAGTCCCGATCACCGACTTGCATCTCGAACATTCTTTTCCTTTCGACCCGGATCACGAACATTCCCGATCACCGACTTTCATCTCGACCATTGTATTGAAAAGTGAAACGAACGCATTGGGATGAGGAAGCGACCAGTTTCATATCAGCCACCTCCTAAAAAACTAGTCTTGTACGCATTTTATTTCGAGGTCTCTATTCTCCAAATCACATGTCTATCTAGATCGATATAAGGCTTTCTGGGGTATGTTCCGACTTGTCTTTTGTAAAGAATCCACCTTGAAGTCGTTTCAAAGTTCTTCAAACCTAAAGTTTTGCGTTTGGCAAAGCTCAGCTGTGTCTCATAGATTTTCTGTCCGCGTCTCCTAGATTTTATTCCAGTCATTATCCCCTTTGGTGGTTTTGGATGGATAGGGCAATTCAGGCATCAACATTCCTTGAATTGGGCAATCCATCCTTTAGGGGGTCATTACACTCCCAAAAATTAGCATAACCCCAAAAATATTGTCGCGGATGAGATAGGGAGGTTCCCGGTTCAACCAACCCTTATATAATATCCAGCAACCAAGCTATCTAATCCGCTGGGGGGGTTCTTACACCGATTTAATCAAATGGGGGTGTGCTTCGAAGTTGCTACGCACGGAGCGGTTCGCTCCCCCCAATTGACCAAATCAGTTCCTAATTATATAATATTCTCTTATATTAATATATGTATATACAAATATATGTACGTACGTATCTATCATCCCATAATTTGCTGTCATGAAACATTGCAATCCCAATAGTTCACTCACCTGCATGGTTTGGCCATTTGGGGATGATTGAGGTCGTTATCATTTACCCATTTCCGACAATCTACTAATTCATGCAAGCACCCTCATTTTGCGGATGCTAGACCTGGGAACAGGGTGTCATGCTGGTTGGTTACCCATCAAAAGTGGTGGTCGAACCGGGGAAGATTGATAGACTTCAACAGCGTTTTACCGTCTGGTAAATTAACATAGACCGTGGGAGATAGGGATGGAAGACTAGTTGCCATTAAACCTTGGTGATTTTAAGGGTCTATGTTAATTTACCAGTGGGTAAATCACTTTAACCATATAGGGATTCGCCAGTCATTTTTTATGGTGGTGCACCGCGGTTGACCATTGGGGATTTATCAAACGATGGGCTTATATCATTGATTGAGCCTTAGGGGTAACTGGCGAGAAATCACCATCAAACATGGGAATTTAACATGAACCAAGAAACCAAGGGTACAATTGCTAGATGTAGAGTCACTTCCCCCCTGGACAGGCAGCTGCACCATGTGCCCAGATGCAATGTGGCACAGCACCAGCCGCCAGCACCAGGCGCAAAGGCCCCAGAACGGCAGCAGCATCGCCAGGTCGTGCACGCACCAGGCGCAACGGCCGCAGCGCACCAGCATCCATCGCTGCCGCCGCAGCAAGAGAATGTTAAATCACTGACAGGATACGGCGTGTGCTATGTGTCACACAGTGGTGCGTCAATCAAGCAGGCCTCTGAATCCAATGAATGAATCTGAATAATCACTCCTACAGCCACTATGCAAAGCAATCGTCTGACTCCACTGACTGAATCGCTCTCACTTCCCACAGCCAACATGCAACATGAGTGGCCGGCTGCGATTGTTTTCAGACACCTTTGGCGTCAGGTTGTTAATCACACATAGGTGCACACTTCGTGTGCAAACTTGCAACTTCCTCACGCGTGTGCGTGCCATTGTAACACATGCAGGACGACATTGGCGCCCTTCACGGGCAAATACCAACACAGAGTCTCCTGCATAGCTCTGCACTTGTCAGAGACATGCCCATGCAGACAAACTGCAAACATCAGGGACGACCATTGGCAACCTTGACCGCCAACAGCCACGACAAATCTGCCGTGCTCAGTTTCCCAGCTTGCTGCATGATGCGACGGCGTTTTTTCTCCTGCGCCCGGCACAGACAATTTGCTGCAAACAAGCTAGCATTGATCAAGACAGGACATTATACCATGTCTGATGGCCACCAGTCTATGTCCTGGCTCTTCACCTCTCGGGTTGCTTGCGCCAACTGCCGCTTCAGCGCCTGTCGCGCTGCTTTCAAATCTGCCAAACGGTCTGCCGGCGGCGCAACGGCCGCAACATCAGCAGGTGCTGCTTCTGACGACATGGCTTCGCAGCAAGTGCGTCAAGGTGAGGGTCACCCAGGGCAAGTTCCTTCTGGCCAAAAGCTTGCAGAGTCTTCTGACAGTTGCTTCAGGGTTGCACGCTGCAAGCACATGCTTGCAAAGAGATGACACTAACACTAGCCTACACGGGGAACCCAAAAATGGGGGCTGGGATTATGCATAAAACTCGGCTTCCACGAGCTGGACCCTAATAGTCTCACAACATTTTCACTTGTACGCAGGCAAGTCAAAACAAGGCTTTGTAAGCATACACCATACGGCGTCGCTCTGGCCACAAACATTGCACTTCCTCTCGGGTTGGTTTGACCCCTTCGGGGAAACTCACCGGAAAATCTATCAACTCCCGCAGCTCCCGATGGAGTACTTGCGGATCAGGCGGATTGGTGCATCCGACCGCTGCGAAGCTACTGCGCCATGCCTTCTGCGCCAAAAATTCACGCGGGCATTGCATCAGCTCCCAAATCCATGCCAGGGGATTCACCAAACCATGCTGGGAAGTTGCTTTCAGACCTTCGTGCCTTGCCCGCAAAAAGGCTTTGAAGCCAGCAAATGCACAAATGTCCAGCGGCTGCAGCACATCAGTGCATTGCGCCGGTATGTAAACCAGCTGCACCTTCTGCCTCTTTGCCGCTTGCATGACCTCCTTTGGCAAGTGGCTAGGCGCACAGTCCAGCAACAAGATACCTTGTTTGCCTGGATACAGCTTCAGCACCTCACCAATGTCTCGCAAGAGTTGCACCATGTTCGCAGCAGAAGTCCATGCAGACTTTTGCGCAATGATCTTCAATCGGGTTGGTGGCAAGGCTTTCTGTGCCCGCAGCAACTTGCGCGTCAGCCTCGTCTTGGAACCTATCAGGTAATGTGGTAACTTCCCTTGGACATCTGTAGAATTGCAAATGAGGCTGAGGTATGTCCAAGCTCCTCTCCGATCCTGCTTCGACACTTTCGCGACCGCAGGAGCCACCACATTGCCAAGCCGCGGCTTCATGGTATACCCTACGCTCGCTCGTCTCATCAACATTCAACATGAGAATGTCTCGGTCGGCAAACTTCTGGTATAGATAGCGCAGATGCCGCCAAAAAGCATTGACCTTGCAGGACAAAGCATGCGGTGTGGAAACAACACCGACGCATCCAAAAGGGTGCAGCAATAGAGGGCGAGAAAACAAACCCGAAAACTGGGACCAGAAATGGGGCCCTTAAGGCTAATCCTGTGCATGCAAACAATATACGGCAACGTACTCGGACCCTTTTTTGGGTCCGGAATCTGGACCCAAAAAGGGGGCCAAAATACTGCAGCAGTTTCCTCCCGTCCAAGGGACTTTCGCTTTTAAAACTGCCGGGTCCTTGTGCACCACCTGTTTCAACACTTTGCGGCGGACACCCCAACGCGCACGCCACTTCTGCGCCCACTTGTTCACGTAGCGTCGCGGAGGGACACCCACGTCGAGCTGATGGCCGATAAAGGCATGCTCCCAGTGCAAGAAGACGTCCATCGAGGAAGGGGCCACACCATGCAAGACATTGCAATCACGCACCCAATCCGAAGTTGCGGCCTCTGCCAAAAAGGCGTGTGCCCTCTGCGCTGCTAGCTCGCCGAATTCCAGCCAGTCTGTTGGCGGGGATTCCAAAAAAAGCTCTTCTAGGGCTGCAGCTGTTGGGAACCCAGCATCCTCAGGGCGCTTGTACGTGGATAACCTGCAAGCCACGCGGACAGCGAGAGCTATGTTGTAGTTGGACAGCACATACACAGCTAGGGTCGTTCGGCGAGCTGCAGGCCCCAGGCCACAACATTGCACTCTCTTTTGCTGCCGTCTGGCCTGCTGGTAAGCGCCTTTCAACTCGTTCCGGTTAGCCACTAAAGCTTGCTGTAATCGGACTACTTCAGCTGCAGCTGCATCCGGCATCATGGCATGCACAGGGACGCCGGCAAGCCGTGTGTCACACAGGCAGACAATATGGAGACTCCTGCCTACGGGCCATGTGTTTTGCCCAAAGAAGCTGTATGACAAGGAAACACTGTTGAAAGTTCATGCTTCAGAGAATGAGCAACAGTGTTGACGGAAACATGGAAACATGCCGGTCACCCATGCTGACGCAGAAGTCAAACTGAGCCCGTCCCAGCTCTGCAAGTAGCAGCAAGCGACGTGGCCATGCTGCAAAGTGACACCCAAGGAATCCAAGTCTGCAAGTGCGCTGCGTTGACAGCAGCCGGCATGTCACAACAAGGGCCCTCACTGACGACAGCTAGTTTGCAACCGTCTGGCGACCCCTTTTTTTGGAACCGGCCGTGGCCTCAGTCTTGTCTGTATAAGGGCTGGCTACACTGAATGAGAATCGCATTCCCTTCTAGCCATTCCCGATCTTCTGCAGCGAGCTGCTCCAGTTCGGTGGTCCAGACATTGGATGTGACAATGAGAGCGACATTCCAAACCCAGATGCGATAAACATACATGCCTGTCGCCGAGTGCCCAAGTGAAATTTCGGCAGGCGGCGCCTGAAACAATTTTTTGTGCTTCAAGACAAGATGGACACTAGCTTCATCAAACACCACACACCGGTGCCGTAGCACATCATATTCCCTCATGTCGGGCTCCAACACCCCGGAACAATTGGTTTCATACGTGTGATCTGCGCCAAAGAGAGACCGTGCATAGACAGTCTTCCCCAGGCGCGTTGGGCCATTCAGCACCAAGAATTTTCGGCGATGCATAGGCCGCGTGAACTGTGGCAAGAACAGCTGCGTCACTTCTGGTAGTTCCACTGGCTCTTTCTGCAGTGGGCGCAAGAGCTCTGCTGCAGCAGCCTGCTGCTGCTGAATGTACAGCTCCCGTTGTTTCTGGCCATGGTACTTCAGGTTCTCACAGTAAGCACGAATGTTGCGCTTGCACTGGACGTAGTGCTGCTCGGCACACTCCTTGTTAATCTTATCCCCCTGCCAAAGTCCAGTCACCCAGTCGGGGCTCACTGTGAAAGTCTGGTATGCTGGGCAAGTGGTCTGGCGAAAAATGGACCCTTTCTTCTCCACTTGGAGATAAAAGTGCCCTTGATCCAGTGCACGACGGACTGACCGCCCACGAGCCTGCGAGGAATCCAAGGAGATGTGCGGCTTGCACCCACGAAATGCCAAACTTTGTCCAGACAGATGCACTTGTCGCCCTGGCCGCAACATGCGGGTGCATGGGCCAGGAAGGTACGGTGCTAGAGCCTATCTGGTTCTGTTAGCCATCAGAACCAAACATGAAACAGGACCGAAAAGTATGGGGAAGGTGCGTCCTCACATTGGGCTGCGAAAAAGAATGACTGGCACTGGGAATGAAAGATAAAATGACATGATTCAGGCTTGCGAGAGAGGTGCCCGCATTGCTGCCGAGTCGCGGGTGTCAAACATCATGTGCAAGTGAATGGAAGGCACTCTGCGTTGCAGCGTCACCTCTGTGTGGAGCTCCAGGGCGGTGCTGACCCGTTCAAAGCGGTACTTGTTGCCGAGCTCGGTCATCCAACTTTGAAAGTCATCCCAAATGGCAAGCACCTGCGGTGCGTTTCGTAGGCCGGCACTGAGCAGATCAATGTCGACAGATGGTCCTGCCGCAAGCAGGTCCAAGGAAGGTTGATGCTCAATCATGCTAAAGGAGCCACTGTATCGGAACATAGTACCAGTGCCCTTGTATGCTTGCGGCGATGGCTCGTTGACAATCGGCTCTTCGACATGCCACCCTGCCAGTAGGTCACGTGCAGCACGTGCAAACTTCACAGGAATTTGCGGCAACATGTCGCGCAAAATCTGCGGCCTGTCGGCTTGTGCAAATGAAGCTCTCCACCGCTGCCGCTTGGCGTGTCCGTGCTCATTCCGAGCGGCCATTCGCTGCGCAGCCCATTTGTCGCGCAGCCATATCAGCAGCTGCTTGCGTGCCTCCCGGTCAGGGGGGCCGTCTGGCGGCGGCTGCTTACCACAGAGTCGCCGTCGGACAGGCATGGCGGCACTGTGGCTCAATGATCATGTTCTTGTTTTGCTGCGTGACATGAAGGGGCCCTCATGGGAAGCTAATACCCTGGCAGCTAAGCAGTCGATGACAAAGCGACCGTACAATGAACAGCATGCAATGCCTCACCATGCTCTGTCTGGATGTGGGCACGGCGGCGGCACCCAAACAGCAGACCAAGCCTGCTCGCAGGCATGAGGACAAGCAAGCTTCCCATAGAGGAGCAGGAGATAGACGCGTCAGTTCTGGACATTGATGAGTTCAAATTGGTTATAAATGGGAGTCTATAAGGTCGAAATGGGGTTATGACTACTTATAACTGGTGAATGGCCATAACTGGTATAATAGCTGGTCTTTCACAGAGTGCAATGCACAAGAGCGGGCCAAAGAAAAGACTACAAGGCAAACAAGTGTGGGCAGCGGCTCAGCAGCTTTGTTTTCGTCAAGTACGCACGGACTTTCCGCGCCACTCGAGACTGTTGTCCCAGCGCTTGCATGGCTGAAAAACCTTGGCAGGAGCATGGAGAGGACCAAGCGACGGGTATGGACTGCGACAAAACCCAGACGACAGCACGGACAGGATCGGTCGGAGGACCGCGGAGGACCAAGCAACGGGAAAAACTATGGAAAAACGGGGGCAAAAATGGCGGTCCTCCAAACCCGCCTCTGGGAGAATAGAATTATTTGTAGCTACAAGCGAGGTTGGAGGACCATGTTGAAGCATGTTGTTCTGTGTCGCCACCATTCTAAAGGTGTCCCTTCCCACAGGCATGGTGCTTTTCTTCCTCCTCTGGGTCTACAGACCTATACATACATATCTATATCTACGTAGATATATCTCTTCATCGACATATATATATATACATACCTTTCTCTCCATGTCTTTCTCTATCTCTCTATCGCTCTTTTATTCTCGATCTACATATATCTCCATATACATGTCTATCGCTATCTAGAATCGGTACTAGAATGAAATACTCTAACGACTGGAAAGCGGGATCTTGAGCACTTTCATGCTGACAGCTTTGAACCAGGTAAAACCAAAAGACTGATCTTTATGTGCACATCTCCTGTTTTTTTTCAAAATGCAGCATGGCATTGAATGCTTGAAATTCCCAACGCGAAGCATTGGCTTTTCGAACCGGATCACGAACAGTCCCGATCACCGACTTGCATCTCGAACATTCTTTTCCTTTCGACCCGGATCACGAACATTCCCGATCACCGACTTTCATCTCGACCATTGTATTGAAAAGTGAAACGAACGCATTGGGATGAGGAAGCGACCAGTTTCATATCAGCCACACATCTCCTGTTTTTTTTCAAAATGCAGCATGGCATTGAATGCTTGAAATTCCCAACGCGAAGCATTGGCTTTTCGAACCGGATCACGAACAGTCCCGATCACCGACTTGCATCTCGAACATTCTTTTCCTTTCGACCCGGATCACGAACATTCCCGATCACCGACTTTCATCTCGACCATTGTATTGAAAAGTGAAACGAACGCATTGGGATGAGGAAGCGACCAGTTTCATATCAGCCACCTCCTAAAAAACTAGTCTTGTACGCATTTTATTTCGAGGTCTCTATTCTCCAAATCACATGTCTATCTAGATCGATATAAGGCTTTCTGGGGTATGTTCCGACTTGTCTTTTGTAAAGAATCCACCTTGAAGTCGTTTCAAAGTTCTTCAAACCTAAAGTTTTGCGTTTGGCAAAGCTCAGCTGTGTCTCATAGATTTTCTGTCCGCGTCTCCTAGATTTTATTCCAGTCATTATCCCCTTTGGTGGTTTTGGATGGATAGGGCAATTCAGGCATCAACATTCCTTGAATTGGGCAATCCATCCTTTAGGGGGTCATTACACTCCCAAAAATTAGCATAACCCCAAAAATATTGTCGCGGATGAGATAGGGAGGTTCCCGGTTCAACCAACCCTTATATAATATCCAGCAACCAAGCTATCTAATCCGCTGGGGGGGTTCCTACACCGATTTAATCAAATGGGGGTGTGCTTCGAAGTTGCTACGCACGGAGCGGTTCGCTCCCCCCAATTGACCAAATCAGTTCCTAATTATATAATATTCTCTTATATTAATATATGTATATACAAATATATGTACGTACGTATCTATCATCCCATATCATCTTTGACATTTGCTGTCATGAAACATTGCAATCCCAATAGTTCACTCACCTGCATGGTTTGGCCATTTGGGGATGATTGAGGTCGTTATCATTTACCCTTTTCCGACAATCTACTAATTCATGCAAGCACCCTCATTTTGCGGATGCTAGACCTGGGAACTGGGTGTCATGCTGGTTGGTTACCCATCAAAAGTGGTGGTCGAACCGGGGAAGATTGATAGACCTCAACAGCGTTTTACCGTCTGGTAAATTAACATAGACCGTGGGAGATAGGGATGGAAGACTAGTTGCCATTAAACCTTGGTGATTTTAAGGGTCTATGTTAATTTACCAGTGGGTAAATCACTTTAACCATATAGGGATTCGCCAGTCATTTTTTATGGTGGTGCACCGCGGTTGACCATTGGGGATTTATCAAACGATGGGCTTATATCATTGATTGAGCCTTAGGGGTAACTGGCGAGAAATCACCATCAAACATGGGAATTTAACATGAACCAAGAAACCAAGGGTACAATTGCTAGATGTAGAGTCACTTCCCCCCTGGACAGGCAGCTGCACCATGTGCCCAGATGCAATGTGGCACAGCACCAGCCGCCAGCACCAGGCGCAAAGGCCCCAGAACGGCAGCAGCATCGCCAGGTCGTGCACGCACCAGGCGCAACGGCCGCAGCGCACCAGCATCCATCGCTGCCGCCGCAGCAAGAGAATGTTAAATCACTGACAGGATACGGCGTGTGCTATGTGTCACACAGTGGTGCGTCAATCAAGCAGGCCTCTGAATCCAATGAATGAATCTGAATAATCACTCCTACAGCCACTATGCAAAGCAATCGTCTGACTCCACTGCCTGAATCGCTCTCACTTCCCACAGCCAACATGCAACATGAGTGGCCGGCTGCGATTGTTTTCAGACACCTTTGGCGTCAGGTTGTTAATCACACATAGGTGCACACTTCGTGTGCAAACTTGCAACTTCCTCACGCGTGTGCGTGCCATTGTAACACATGCAGGACGACATTGGCGCCCTTCACGGGCAAATACCAACACAGAGTCTCCTGCATAGCTCTGCACTTGTCAGAGACATGCCCATGCAGACAAACTGCAAACATCAGGGACGACCATTGGCAACCTTGACCGCCAACAGCCACGACAAATCTGCCGTGCTCAGTTTCCCAGCTTGCTGCATGATGCGACGGCGTTTTTTCTCCTGCGCCCGGCACAGACAATTTGCTGCAAACAAGCTAGCATTGATCAAGACAGGACATTATACCATGTCTGATGGCCACCAGTCTATGTCCTGGCTCTTCACCTCTCGGGTTGCTTGCGCCAACTGCCGCTTCAGCGCCTGTCGCGCTGCTTTCAAATCTGCCAAACGGTCTGCCGGCGGCGCAACGGCCGCAACATCAGCAGGTGCTGCTTCTGACGACATGGCTTCGCAGCAAGTGCGTCAAGGTGAGGGTCACCCAGGGCAAGTTCCTTCTGGCCAAAAGCTTGCAGAGTCTTCTGACAGTTGCTTCAGGGTTGCACGCTGCAAGCACATGCTTGCAAGCAGACACTAACACTAGCCTACACGGGGAACCCAAAAATGGGGGCTGGGATTATGCATAGAACTCGGCTTCCACAAGCTGGACCCTAATAGTCTCACAACATTTTCACTTGTACGCAGGCAAGTCAAAACAAGGCTTTGTAAGCATACACCATACGGCGTCGCTCTGGCCACAAACATTGCACTTCCTCTCGGGTTGGTTTGACCCCTTCGGGGAAACTCACCGGAAAATCCATTAACTCCCGCAGCTCCCGATGGAGTACTTGCGGATCAGGCGGATTGGTGCATCCGACCGCTGCGAAGCTACTGCGCCATGCCTTCTGCGCTAAAAATTCACGCGGGCATTGCATCAGCTCCCAAATCCATGCCAGGGGATTCACCAAACCATGCTGGGAAGTTGCTTTCAGACCTTCGTGCCTTGCCCGCAAAAAGGCTTTGAAGCCAGCAAATGCACAAATGTCCAGCGGCTGCAGCACATCAGTGCATTGCGCCGGTATGTAAACCAGCTGCACCTTCTGCCTCTTTGCCGCTTGCATGACCTCCTTTGGCAAGTGGCTAGGCGCACAGTCCAGCAACAAGATACCTTGTTTGCCTGGATACAGCTTCAGCACCTCACCAATGTCTCGCAAGAGTTGCACCATGTTCGCAGCAGAAGTCCATGCAGACTTTTGCGCAATGATCTTCAATCGGGTTGGTGGCAAGGCTTTCTGTGCCCGCAGCAACTTGCGCGTCAGCCTCGTCTTGGAACCTATCAGGTAATGTGGTAACTTCCCTTGGACATCTGTAGCATTGCAAATGAGGCTGAGGTATGTCCAAGCTCCTCTCCGATCCTGCTTCGACACTTTCGCGACCGCAGGAGCCACCACATTGCCAAGCCGCGGCTTCATGGTATACCCTACGCTCGTCTCATCAACATTCAACATGAGAATGTCTCGGTCGGCAAACTTCTGGTATAGATAGCGCAGATGCCGCCAAAAAGCATTGACCTTGCAGGACAAAGCATGCGGCGTGGAAACAACACCGACGCATCCAAAAGGGTGCAGCAATAGAGGGCGAGAAAACAAACCCGAAAACTGGGACCAGAAATGGGGCCCTTAAGGCTAATCCTGTGCATGCAAACAATATACGGCAACGTACTCGGACCCTTTTTTGGGTCCGGAATCTGGACCCAAAAAGGGGGCCAAAATACTGCAGCAGTTTCCTCCCGTCCAAGGGACTTTCGCTTTTAAAACTGCCGGGTCCTTGTGCACCACCTGTTTCAACACTTTGCGGCGGACACCCCAACGCGCACGCCACTTCTGCGCCCACTTGTTCACGTAGCGTCGCGGAGGGACACCCACGTCGAGCTGATGGCCGATAAAGGCATGCTCCCAGTGCAAGAAGACGTCCATCGAGGAAGGGGCCACACCATGCAAGACATTGCAATCACGCACCCAATCCGAAGTTGCGGCCTCTGCCAAAAAGGCGTGTGCCCTCTGCGCTGCTAGCTCGCCGAATTCAAGCCAGTCTGTTGGCGGGGATTCCAAAAAAAGCTCTTCTAGGGCTGCAGCTGTTGGGAACCCAGCATCCTCAGGGCGCTTGTACGTGGATAACCTGCAAGCCACGCGGACAGCGAGAGCTATGTTGTAGTTGGACAGCACATACACAGCTAGGGTCGTTCGGCGAGCTGCAGGCCCCAGGCCACAACATTGCACTCTCTTTTGCTGCCGTCTGGCCTGCTGGTAAGCGCCTTTCAACTCGTTCCGGTTAGCCACTAAAGCTTGCTGTAATCGGACTACTTCAGCTGCAGCTGCATCCGGCATCATGGCATGCGCAGGGACGCCGGCAAGCCGTGTGTCACACAGGCAGACAATATGGAGACTCCTGCCTACGGGCCATGTGTTTTGCCCAAAGAAGCTGTATGACAAGGAAACACTGTTGAAAGTTCATGCTTCAGAGAATGAGCAACAGTGTTGACGGAAACATGGAAACATGCCGGTCACCCATGCTGACGCAGAAGTCAAACTGAGCCCGTCCCAGCTCTGCAAGTAGCAGCAAGCGACGTGGCCATGCTGCAAAGTGACACCCAAGGAATCCAAGTCTGCAAGTGCGCTGCGTTGACAGCAGCCGGCATGTCACAGTCTCACAACATTTTCACTTGTACGCAGGCAAGTCAAAACAAGGCTTTGTAAGCATACACCATACGGCGTCGCTCTGGCCACAAACATTGCACTTCCTCTCGGGTTGGTTTGACCCCTTCGGGGAAACTCACCGGAAAATCCATTAACTCCCGCAGCTCCCGATGGAGTACTTGCGGATCAGGCGGATTGGTGCGTCCGACCGCTGCGAAGCTACTGCGCCATGCCTTCTGCGCGAAAAATTCACGCGGGCATTGCATCAGCTCCCAAATCCATGCCAGGGGATTCACCAAACCATGCTGGGAAGTTGCTTTCAGACCTTCGTGCCTTGCCCGCAAAAAGGCTTTGAAGCCAGCAAATGCACAAATGTCCAGCGGCTGCAGCACATCAGTGCATTGCGCCGGTATGTAAACCAGCTGCACCTTCTGCCTCTTTGCCGCTTGCATGACCTCCTTTGGCAAGTGGCTAGGCGCACAGTCCAGCAACAAGATACCTTGTTTGCCTGGATACAGCTTCAGCACCTCACCAATGTCTCGCAAGAGTTGCACCATGTTCGCAGCAGAAGTCCATGCAGACTTTTGCGCAATGATCTTCAATCGGGTTGGTGGCAAGGCTTTCTGTGCCCGCAGCAACTTGCGCGTCAGCCTCGTCTTGGAACCTATCAGGTAATGTGGTAACTTCCCTTGGACATCTGTAGAATTGCAAATGAGGCTGAGGTATGTCCAAGCTCCTCTCCGATCCTGCTTCGACACTTTCGCGACCGCAGGAGCCACCACATTGCCAAGCCGCGGCTTCATGGTATACCCTACGCTCGTCTCATCAACATTCAACATGAGAATGTCTCGGTCGGCAAGCTTCTGGTATAGATAGCGCAGATGCCGCCAAAAAGCATTGACCTTGCAGGACAAAGCATGCGGTGTGGAAACAACACCGACGCATCCAAAAGGGTGCAGCAATAGAGGGCGACAAAACAAACCCGAAAACTGGGACCAGAAATGGGGCCCTTAAGGCTAATCCTGTGCATGCAAACAATATACGGCAACGTACTCGGACCCTTTTTTGGGTCCGGAATCTGGACCCAAAAAGGGGGCCAAAATACTGCAGCAGTTTCCTCCCGTCCAAGGGACTTTCGCTTTTAAAACTGCCGGGTCCTTGTGCACCACCTGTTTCAACACTTTGCGGCGGACACCCCAGCGCGCACGCCACTTCTGCGCCCACTTGTTCACGTAGCGTCGCGGAGGGACACCCACGTCGAGCTGATGGCCGATAAAGGCATGCTCCCAGTGCAAGAAGACGTCCATCGAGGAAGGGGCCACACCATGCAAGACATTGCAATCACGCACCCAATCCGAAGTTGCGGCCTCTGCCAAAAAGGCGTGTGCCCTCTGCGCTGCTAGCTCGCCGAATTCAAGCCAGTCTGTTGGCGGGGATTCCAAAAAAAGCTCTTCTAGGGCTGCAGCTGTTGGGAACCCAGCATCCTCAGGGCGCTTGTACGTGGATAACCTGCAAGCCACGCGGACAGCGAGAGCTATGTTGTAGTTGGACAGCACATACACAGCTAGGGTCGTTCGGCGAGCTGCAGGCCCCAGGCCACAACATTGCACTCTCTTTTGCTGCCGTCTGGCCTGCTGGTAAGCGCCTTTCAACTCGTTCCGGTTAGCCACTAAAGCTTGCTGTAATCGGACTACTTCAGCTGCAGCTGCATCCGGCATCATGGCATGCACAGGGACGCCGGCAAGCCGTGTGTCACACAGGCAGACAATATGGAGACTCCTGCCTACGGGCCATGTGTTTTGCCCAAAGAAGCTGTATGACAAGGAAACACTGTTGAAAGTTCATGCTTCAGAGAATGAGCAACAGTGTTGACGGAAACATGGAAACATGCCGGTCACCCATGCTGACGCAGAAGTCAAACTGAGCCCGTCCCAGCTCTGCAAGTAGCAGCAAGCGACGTGGCCATGCTGCAAAGTGACACCCAAGGAATCCAAGTCTGCAAGTGCGCTGCGTTGACAGCAGCCGGCATGTCACAACAAGGGCCCTCACTGACGACAGCTAGTTTGCAACCGTCTGGCGACCCCTTTTTTTGGAACCGGGCGTGGCCTCAGTCTTGTCTGTATAAGGGCTGGCTACACTGAATGAGAATCGCATTCCCTTCTAGCCATTCCCGATCTTCTGCAGCGAGCTGCTCCAGTTCGGTGGTCCAGACATTGGATGTGACAATGAGAGCGACATTCCAAACCCAGATGCGATAAACATACATGCCTGTCGCCGAGTGCCCAAGTGAAATTTCGGCAGGCGGCGCCTGAAACAATTTTTTGTGCTTCAAGACAAGATGGACACTAGCTTCATCAAACACCACACACCGGTGCCCTAGCACATCATATTCCCTCATGTCGGGCTCCAACACCCCGGAACAATTGGTTTCATACGTGTGATCTGCGCCAAAGAGAGACCGTGCATAGACAGTCTTCCCCAGGCGCGTTGGGCCATTCAGCACCAAGAATTTTCGGCGATGCATAGGCCGCGTGAACTGTGGCAAGAACAGCTGCGTCACTTCTGGTAGTTCCACTGGCTCTTTCTGCAGTGGGCGCAAGAGCTCTGCTGCAGCAGCCTGCTGCTGCTGAATGTACAGCTCCCGTTGTTTCTGGCCATGGTACTTCAGGTTCTCACAGTAAGCACGAATGTTGCGCTTGCATTGGACGTAGTGCTGCTCGGCACACTCCTTGTTAATCTTATCCCCCTGCCAAAGTCCAGTCACCCAGTCGGGGCTCACTGTGAAAGTCTGGTATGCTGGGCAAGTGGTCTGGCGAAAAATGGACCCTTTCTTCTCCACTTGGAGATAAAAGTGCCCTTGATCCAGTGCACGACGGACTGACCGCCCACGAGCCTGCGAGGAATCCAAGGAGATGTGCGGCTTGCACCCACGAAATGCCAAACTTTGTCCAGACAGATGCACTTGTCGCCCTGGCCGCAACATGCGGGTGCATGGGCCAGGAAGGTACGGTGCTAGAGCCTATCTGGTTCTGTTAGCCATCAGAACCAAACATGAAACAGGACCGAAAAGTATGGGGAAGGTGCGTCCTCACATTGGGCTGCGAAAAAGAATGACTGGCACTGGGAATGAAAGAAAAAATGACATGATTCAGGCTTGCGAGAGAGGTGCCCGCATTGCTGCCGAGTCGCGGGTGTCAAACATCATGTGCAAGTGAATGGAAGGCACTCTGCGTTGCAGCGTCACCTCTGTGTGGAGCTCCAGGGCGGTGCTGACCCGTTCAAAGCGGTACTTGTTGCCGAGCTCGGTCATCCAACTTTGAAAGTCATCCCAAATGGCAAGCACCTGCGGTGCGTTTCGTCGTAGGCCGGCACTGAGCAGATCAATGTCGACAGATGGTCCTGCCGCAAGCAGGTCCAAGGAAGGTTGATGCTCAATCATGCTAAAGGAGCCACTGTATCGGAACATAGTACCAGTGCCCTTGTATGCTTGCGGCGATGGCTCGTTGACAATCGGCTCTTCGACATGCCACCCTGCCAGTAGGTCACGTGCAGCACGTGCAAACTTCACAGGAATTTGCGGCAACATGTCGCGCAAAATCTGCGGCCTGTCGGCTTGTGCAAATGAAGCTCTCCACCGCTGCCGCTTGGCGTGTCCGTGCTCATTCCGAGCGGCCATTCGCTGCGCAGCCCATTTGTCGCGCAGCCATATCAGCAGCTGCTTGCGTGCCTCCCGGTCAGGGGGGCCGTCTGGCGGCGGCTGCTTACCACAGAGTCGCCGTCGGACAGGCATGGCGGCACTGTGGCTCAATGATCATGTTCTTGTTTTGCTGCGTGACATGAAGGGGCCCTCATGGGAAGCTAATACCCTGGCAGCTAAGCAGTCGATGACAAAGCGACCGTACAATGAACAGCATGCAATGCCTCACCATGCTCTGTCTGGATGTGGGCACGGCGGCGGCACCCAAACAGCAGACCAAGCCTGCTCGCAGGCATGAGGACAAGCAAGTTTCCCATAGAGGAGCAGGAGATAGACGCGTCAGTTCTGGACATTGATGAGTTCAAATTGGTTATAAATGGGAGTCTATAAGGTCGAAATGGGGTTATGACTACTTATAACTGGTCAATGGCCATAACTGGTATAATAGCTGGTCTTTCACAGAGTGCAATGCACAAGAGCGGGCCAAAGAAAAGACTACAAGGCAAACAAGTGTGGGCAGCGGCTCAGCAGCTTTGTTTTCGTCAAGTACGCACGGACTTTCCGCGCCACTCGAGACTCGTTGTCCCAGCGCTTGCATGGCTGAAAAACCTTGGCAGGAGCATGGAGAGGACCAAGCGACGGGTATGGACTGCGACAAAACCCAGACGACAGCACGGACAGGATCGGTCGGAGGACCGCGGAGGACCAAGCAACGGGAAAAACTATGGAAAAACGGGGGCAAAAATGGCGGTCCTCCAAATCCGCCTCTGGGAGAATAGAATTATTTGTAGCTACAAGCGAGGTTGGAGGACCATGTTGAAGCATGTTGTTCTGTGTCGCCACCATTCTAAAGGTGTCCCTTCCCACAGGCATGGTGCTTTTCTTCCTCCTCTGGGTCTACAGACCTATACATACATATCTATATCTACGTAGATATATCTCTTCATCGACATATATATATATATACATACCTTTCTCTCCATGTCTTTCTCTATCTCTCTATCGCTCTTTTATTCTCGATCTATATATATCTCCATATACATGTCTATCGCTATCTAGAATCGGTACTAGAATGAAATACTCTAACGACTGGAAAGCGGGATCTTGAGCACTTTCATGCTGACAGCTTCGAACCAGGTAAAACCAAAAGACTGATCTTTATGTGCACATCTCCTGTTTTTTTTCAAAATGCAGCATGGCATTGAATGCTTGAAATTCCCAACGCGAAGCATTGGCTTTTCGAACCGGATCACGAACAGTCCCGATCACCGACTTGCATCTCGAACATTCTTTTCCTTTCGACCCGGATCACGAACATTCCCGATCACCGACTTTCATCTCGACCATTGTATTGAAAAGTGAAACGAACGCATTGGGATGAGGAAGCGACCAGTTTCATATCAGCCACACATCTCCTGTTTTTTTTCAAAATGCAGCATGGCATTGAATGCTTGAAATTCCCAACGCGAAGCATTGGCTTTTCGAACCGGATCACGAACAGTCCCGATCACCGACTTGCATCTCGAACATTCTTTTCCTTTCGACCCGGATCACGAACATTCCCGATCACCGACTTTCATCTCGACCAGTGTATTGAAAAGTGAAACGAACGCATTGGGATGAGGAAGCGACCAGTTTCATATCAGCCACCTCCTAAAAAACTAGTCTTGTACGCATTTTATTTCGAGGTCTCTATTCTCCAAATCACATGTCTATCTAGATCGATATAAGGCTTTCTGGGGTATGTTCCGACTTGTCTTTTGTAAAGAATCCACCTTGAAGTCGTTTCAAAGTTCTTCAAACCTAAAGTTTTGCGTTTGGCAAAGCTCAGCTGTGTCTCATAGATTTTCTGTCCGCGTCTCCTAGAGTTTATTCCAGTCATTATCCCCTTTGGTGGTTTTGGATGGATAGGGCAATTCAGGCATCAACATTCCTTGAATTGGGCAATCCATCCTTTAGGGGGTCATTACACTCCCAAAAATTAGCATAACCCCAAAAATATTGTCGCGGATGAGATAGGGAGGTTCCCGGTTCAACCAACCCTTATATAATATCCAGCAACCAAGCTATCTAATCCGCTGGGGGGGTTCCTACACCGATTTAATCAAATGGGGGTGTGCTTCGAAGTTGCTACGCACGGAGCGGTTCGCTCCCCCCAATTGACCAAATCAGTTCCTAATTATATACTATTCTCTAATAATAATATATATATATGTATATACAAATATATGTACGTACGTATCTATCATCCCATATCATCTTTGACATGTACTGTCATGAAACATTGCAATCCCAATAATTCACTCACCTGCATGATTTGGCCATTTGGGGATGATTGAGGTCGTTATCATTTACCCTTTTCCGACAATCTACTAATTCATGCAATCACCCTCATTTTGCGGATGCTAGACCTGGGAACTGGGTGTCATGCTGGTTGGTTACCCATCAAAAGTGGTGGTCGAACCGGGGAAGATTGATAGACCTCAACAGCGTTTTACCGTCTGGTAAATTAACATAGACCGTGGGAGATAGGGATGGAAGACTAGTTGCCATTCAACCTTGGTGATTTTCAGGGTCTATGTTAATTTACCAGTGGGTAAATCACTTTAACCATATAGGGATTCGCCAGTCATTTTTTATGGTGGTGCACCGCGGTTGACCATTGGGGATTTATCAAACGATGGGCTTTTATCATTGATTGAGGCTCATGGGTAACTGGCGGGAAATCACCATCAAACATGGGAATTTGACATGAACCAAGAAACCAAGGGTACAATTGCTAGATGTAGATTCACTTCCCCCCTGGACAGGCAGCTGCACCATGTGCCCAGATGCAATGTGGCACAGCACCAGCCGCCAGCACCAGGCGCAAAGGCCCCAGAACGGCAGCAGCATCGCCAGGTCGTGCACACACCAGGCGCAACGGCCGCAGCGCACCAGCATCCATCGCTGCCGCCGCAGCAAGAGAATGTTAAATCACTGACAGGATACGGCGTGTGCTATGTGTCACGCAGTGTTGCGTCAATCAAGCAGGCCTCTGAATCCAATGAATGAATCTGAATCTCTCTAATCACTCCTACAGCCACTATGCAAAGCAGTCCTCTGACTCCACTGACAGAATCGCTCTCACTTCCCACAGCCAACATGCAACATGAGTGGCCGGCTGCGATTGTTTTCAGACACCTTTGGCGTCAGGTTGTGAATCACACATAGGTGCACACTTCGTGTGCAAACTTGCAACTTCCTCACGCGTGTGCGTGACATTGTGACACATGCAGGACGACATTGGCGCCCTTCACGGGCAAATACCAACACAGAGTCTCCTGCATAGCTCTGCACTTGTCAGAGCCATGCCTCTGCAGACAAACTGCAAACATCAGGGACGACCATTGGCAACCTTGACCGCCAACAGCCACGACAAATCTGCCGTGCTCAGTTTCCCAGCTTGCTTCATGATGCGACGGCGTTTTTTCTCCTGCGTCCGGCACAGACAATTTGCTGCAAACAAGCTAGCATTGATCAAGACAGGACATTATACCATGTCTGATGGCCACCAGTCTATGTCCTGGCTCTTCACCTCTCGGGTTGCTTGCGCCAACTGCCGCTTCAGCGCCTGTCGCGCTGCTTTCAAATCTGCCAAACGGTCTGCCGGCGGCGCAACGGCCGCAACATCAGCAGGTGCTGCTTCTGACGACATGGCTTCGCAGCAAGTGCGTCAAGGTGAGGGTCACCCAGGGCAAGTTCCTTCTGGCCAAAAGCTTGCAGAGTCTTCTGACAGTTGCTTCAGGGTTGCACGCTGCAAGCACATGCTTGCAAAGAGATGACACTAACACTAGCCTACACGGGGAACCCAAAAATGGGGGCTGGGATTATGCATAGAACTCGGCTTCCACAAGCTGGACCCTAATAGTATATATAGTAACTTAGTATTATATGATATATATATATATATTATATGATATAATGAGAATTCATGGAGCATGTGCATAATATGTAAACGATGCAGAGGAGTCATGAGCTGGGGATCCCCATTGACCACTTTTTCATGTGACCCCATTCTTGCTGGGAAATCCTTCATAAACATGTAACTGGTATTTCCATTTACCCTTTGGTAAACTAACATAACTATGGAAAAACACAATTTTTAATGGGAAAATCCACTAGAAATCACCATGTTCAATAGCTATGTTAGTCATTACCAGAGGGCAAATGGTATTCCCATTTACATACCAAGATTGACAAGGGAATCAGTTTGCACCATGATATATGATTTGGGGGATTCACGGCAACAACATGAAAACTCTTCCGGACTATTCCATTTACCCTCTGGTAATTTAACATAGCTATTGAAAATCACCATTTATAGTGGATTTTCCCATTAAAAATGGTGATTTTCCATAGTTATGTTAGTTTACCAGAGGGTAGAATATGCCTGGGATATCGCAAAGCATTGCCAATCTGATTCCATTCCACATATTTCCACATGAGATTTTCCATCATTTTTGGACAATCCCCGTAAATATGATTTGTATTCCCATTTCCTGGTGAAAATATATGCCTGTGGCCTGTGGGTCAAAAAAACATTTACCCCCTTTGCCAAGTGCCAAGAGCTGGGATTTGTGGATGTTCATCCCCCTAAAAACCCGAAACGGTAATTTAACGCTATGGAAAGTGGACCATTCACATTGATGATTTACCCTCCGGTAATTTAACATAGCTATTGAAAATTGCCATTTATAGTGGATTTACCCATTAAATATGTTGATTTTCCATAGTTATGTTAGTTTACCAGAGGTTACCCATTAAAATGATCTAAGATATGGTGATTACCAGAGGGTATTGGGCCAGGGCCCATTGGCTTCACATGTGAAAGCCAGGCGGTTGCCATGGCGACGACAACGTCCCTCACCGGGACAACGACCGGAGGTTTCAGCCAGGCCCTATAGGATTTGAAGTAAAAGTAACCTATGGCCTATGGGCATTTTGATCATGGGATGTAATTGAACTTAGAACCGCATATTATATATATATGGTCATATATATATTCTATATTATATATATATTCTATCTACTCCAGGATGACTATATATATAAATATATATGGTCAGATCCAATAGAATCGTCTTCCAAAGCCACAATCGTTTGCTGGGCGAGATCCTCGTAGGGGATTTCAGGGTGCTGCACGATGGTGCCCCCCCCGGTTATGTTTGTTAGTTTATAAGCCCATCTGAATATCATTATAAGTGTCATATACTATTGTATTGCCAGAGGATATAGTATATCATGTGATATGCATATGATCATATGATTATATTGTTCCACATCTTAATTTCAAAATTTACGGACCCAGATGTTCATAGATGTGTTGCAAACAAAACATCAAATCAAACCCAGTAAACCCAAAGTAGATTACCAGGGAATGCTTGGGATGGTCTGATATGTTCCGTTGTTTTCCCCTTCACCCAGGGTACCCTCTGGTAATTTAACATAGCTATTGAAAATGACCATTTATAGTGGATTTTCCCATTGAAAATGGTGATTTTCCATAGTTATGTTAAATTACCAGAGGGTACCAGTTGGGTTCCTGCGAAGGGATCTATTCTTGCACCACGACGCAATCCCGATCGCAAGAAGCTGGACTGCTGCGTCGGCAGTGGTGCAAAGTGCCCCAATTCCTTTGCTAACTTGGTCTGTAAGCCTGTCTAGGGTCTATGGATGATAGTAAGTTTATGAAAGTATTTTTATGTGTTTTTTCTGATTTATCTATAGGTTTTCTGGATGTGCATAGTGGCTTTGCTTATCCCTCATCTTTCAGTTACCTGTCATACAAGGTCAAAATCACAAGGTAAAATCACCCTGTAACTTACTGAGGGCTTTGTCATATGGGCTTTAATGAACTAAATTCTGGCAGGGAATCACTTCATATATCTTCATATAAAAGCACCACCTTCAGCTTTCTCAAATTCAATTGACATACAAAAACACGCTAGGCATGACTTAGGCGTGGCATTGTCGCTTCCCTGTAATTGACATAGTAAATGATGGGATTTACTCAGGAATGGCTGCCTGGCTGGGTTTGGAATATCATGGGATCGATTTTCGCTGCCAAAGGATGATCCGACATCAGTTCTGCACCTGTTGCGTCACATGGTTTATCCATGTAAAAATCCCGTTATAATATGTTATAATCTCATTATGTACAGTGTTTAATCATTACAGTTGCTCAAAGCTACCAATAGTTTCAGTATGATTTGGAAAGAGGGGTATCCTGTTCGACGGGATCAAATGACACCATCGTAGGACCGCCTGTGGACCGTGTTGACAAACCCCAAGGCCTTCGGGATATGGGAAATTGGGGCAAGCGATTCGACAGTGAATCTGATCAACTCCTTTGCTGATTTTGATGGAGTTTTATGGAAATTCATGAATTTTTAATGTATACTCCAATGGAAACAAGGGCGAAGGCATGAGAAAGCCATTTCTGACCAAACTAACCCACAAACTGACCGAAACAGAAATGTGATATAACTGTGATAGAGTAACAAGCTGCTTTTTGTTCATCATACCACAACTATCCCCAACCAGAAATGAGTGACAAATCCCTCCGGGCGCGTCAGGTGAGATGCGCCAGCTTGAAAGACAAGGCGCCAGCTTGAGTTTTCGCCGCGCGGGATCATCGAAAGCCATGGCTGAGAACTGGGATATCCCCGTTGCCCCCATGGATTGGAAAAAACTATGGAAACCTCCAAATGGATCCAAATGGCCTTTTTTGATGGGTATAGCCGATGATCGAAATGAAGCTGTTTTGGAGAATGGTGTGACTTTGGACGATGTCACCATAAACGATGTTTGAATCTTGTAGAATATGCCAGTCATATCAGTCATGTGAAGGTGGAACTCTACAGCCATAATTTGCACCTAGGACTTATCCTCTGGTAATTTGTAACATAGCTATTGAACATGGCAACTTTTTATAGTGGATTTCCCCATAAAAAATGGTGGATCTTTCCATTGCAAACTGTTAGTTTACCAGGCCGGGTATTATCCATTATATCCCCTATAAATCCCCTATAAATCCCTATAAATCCCTATAAAAATTGGTAAATACTGTGAATTCCCACATGATCCCCTCAATTGACATCAGTTGACACCACAGAAATCCCACAGAAATGGTCTTAAGCTGCACAAGGCGGGTTACCAGCAGCGAGACCGCCAGATGCCCACCAAGATCGAGGTGTTGACGGGGATGTTTCACCTTTCCAAATTGTCAGATCACAGTACAGGTATTATATAAGATATATAATTATATATATAATATATATAATGTAATTCATAATATAATATAATATAATACAATACAATATAATATAATATAATGCAATGTAATAAAATATAATATAATATAATATATATATATATACATATCTATTTATATGTTTTTTTTTCAGTTCCAGAGGCCTCCAGGGCGGTCTCCGCCTCGAATTTCTGGGGGGATAAGCCACAAAGAAATCCATCGAACTTTCCAGGAATGATAATTCCATAATTAATGATGTTCCATGATGTTCCATATTAGATAAACTACATGATTGATACATTTCCATATATTTCCATAATGATTTTTGTCTTGGGTTGCCAGCTATTTCATCTTATTCCATACTGGCTATCTGGCTGGCATGGGATAACCCACATCGAATGGCAGCTTTTTTGTTCGGGGGTGAAAGTGGATGCCAGGCTCCCAGGAAACAAATTACGTTTATTTTCCCGAGGTTTTAATGGATGTTAACATGATGTGTTTCTCGATTTGTTTCGTAACATCCAGATTTTTTGTCTGGAACAGTTTGGGATTAGGGCTAGAAATGACAAAAAAAACACTGGTTCTATGGGCCTTTCTATGCCTTTCTCAGCTGGTTCGTCAGCATCATGCCACGATTCTGGTAGTTGTTCAATCCATCATCTTCGACCCTGGCGCCTGCTCCGTATCTCCAAAAAACAAATGATATCATAACATATATCATGATTATCATAACCATATATGGGGATAACCATAACAAATGGTACATATATCAAAAACATATATCATTGATCCATAACTCCATAACAAGGGGATGTTTTGAATCAATTTTCTGGGAATCTAACCTGCATCGCAGCACCCGAAACAACCAGGGGATCAAGCCTTTGATGCTCTACAAGCTCTACAATGGACCCTGGCGTCTGGACGTGTGAACCGAAAAAAAAAAAGAACGATGGGCTGGAATACCCAGGCAGTCTTTGAATCTGTCAGAATATGTCAGCATGATATTGATGAAACATGATGAAACTGATGAAGCACTGATGCTGGATGAAACATGATTAGATATAGATGCATGATACTGATGAAACATTTGAATCATGTGAAACATGTTGATTTGTTTGATTGAAGTTACCAGCACTTTATTTTTATTTCATGAATAAAAGGATGGGTGATATCACTAGATTCTATTAGTCTCAGCCTTTTGACCTATTCCATCCCGGCATATTTGGCCGCTCTGACCTTTGCTCCCAAAGAAGGAGGCCGCATTCTCTGGGAACTGCTGAGATTTTCTTGTGTGATGTTGGTCACATGTGCCCAGCAGGAGTCCCACATGGGATAAGTTCAACATCCAGTTTAACCCGCATGAAATCACAGGATAAGCGTGTAACTTACCCAGCGAAATCTCACTTATAATCCGTATTAAACATCATTGAACTAATATAACTAATATAAAACATAGTATGATATTGCCCATAGGATCCATGTATGCTATATATGGTAACATGGATCCCATCCATATACCCCAGTCATGTTAGCATATATACCAGCACCATGGATCCGTCATGGGTTGTAACCATCAACCACCAGAGATTCTAGGGATGACAATGACAATGACACCGAAGTTGGGTGTTGTTGCTTCGAGATGACTGGATCCTCCATCGAGATATTTTAAGCATGTGGTTCTTTTCTCCATGGCAAAAACACACATTTTAGACTAACATAACTATGGAACATCACCATTTTTAAATGGGAAAATCAACTATAAATGGCCATTTTCAATAAGTTGGGGATAGTTACCCTCTGGTTATGTCAACAGTTTGCTATTGAACATGGCCATAGAAATAGTTGATTTTCCCATTAAAAAAATGGTGGATCTTTCCATAGTTACGTGAACGTTTACCAGGCCGGGTACTCCAATTTTAGACAACGCCATATCGGATGAGTTCGTCAAGAGTCCAAAGCACCCAACCTGGCTGACCTCGATGTGAAAGGTCACTTGTTGATGATCGGCTTAAGCAATAGGCTTGATGATTCAATAGGCTTAATCACTGCAAATCATCGGTTATTCAGAATATTCATGATTATTCATGGTTAATCACTGATTTTTGTTTGAGAACTGTGATGTTTGCCCCGAAATATCCAACGAACTTAACGTGTGCTTGCCTTTTTGCAAGCATTTCTGGTTAACATGTTGATATTATTACAGATTCCATTAGAAAATCAACAAACAGTTCTTGGCTGATCACCGTGTTGGCAATCCTGGCAGATCCCGACTCAATGGTGACTCCCCGCGAGCAGGAGAAGCCATAAGAGGGGGTTGCAAAAATCGAGAAAAACCTCTCAGGTCTCAGGGTAAATCACGTCATTTTCCGATTTCTTCATGGTATTTACATGATATTTACTGGTTCCATTTCTCAGTTTATGGACCCCCCAAAAAATCGTAAATTTGAGGGAAAATCTTCCACGCTTCGACGTGGTCGCCGGCACGGCCTCGCCAAAGGCGAGGCCGGCCCTGTCGACTGGACGATGTGCCGAGACCTCTCGGGGAGCGTTGGGAAGAAAAGACGTGTGCAGTCGATGCACCATTTTGGGGTGGTTGGTTAATAATGGTTAATCAATGGTTAATAATGGTCAATCCGCGATGGGATGCCATCACGTTTCTTATGTTGAGAGCATCAGATCCCTGTTGATTATGGAAAACATGTTGGTTGTCATGGTTTGAGAAATGTGTATTTTTGGTGTATGTTCAATTGGATAAAGCAAACATCAGAGAGTACTCAGACCGACGTTTAAAGGCTCTAAGAGTTGAAGTGATTGTCAGTTTGAGTATGGGGTCGATGTTCACCGTTCTAATGTTCTGGCACCCTTATAATTTGTGATTATGTAGCGATTTAAGTAGCAACCATTCAAAAATTCAGGGACATTATGTTTGAATGATTTTGAATGTGTTTGATCCATTCCTATTTGGCTTATCACTTAATTCTATAAGGAGCACAGCTAAATCAACACACATTAGACAAGGGTTGTCATTGATGGGTACCCTTAAAAGATAAGGCAGTTTGCATTTTAATTTTACATAATTCTGGTTGTCAGGATCTCATTTCACTCAGACCCGATATACGCAGTGAACATATCCAACTTGACATCTCTGCGTCTCCAACGCGATGGCAAACAACAAAATCAATGCAGAAGTACTCACTCGCTGAAACAATCATCCTGGAAAGGACTGGGATGGTCGCCCAAAGAAACTCAAACTCCATGATTCTTCGGTCGTACTGGTAGCGCTTTCGTGGTTGCTCCATGGAGCGTCCGTGAACAAAACGAGTACAGTCATGCAATATGCGGACGTTGGTATTTCGTGGTTTATTTATCAATTGTAATTTCATGGTCATACACCTACAATCATCTACAATATGTACATATTGGCAAATATCAATGATAATGAGTGTAGCTACAATGTTAAGTGTTCTTATGAAGGTCTCAGTATAACCGTATCCTCGTCACATCGAACTGCCCAACACGCGAAGGGCAGCAACAAAAACGCCGTCGAACAAGGAAATGATCGGTGCGATTCCCTTATCAAAGTCATAGTCACCTGCGACGGATCATGCGAGAACAGTCGATAAGGATGGCAGCGCCTCATGGTAACGTTCTTGCCAACGACGCCGTGCTGACCCCCCAGCAACAAAAACGTTTTGATCTGTGAGTTGCACCCCAACCCACCATGCTGACCCCACTCAACCATCCATGCTGACACCACAGGAACCAGAAATTGTGATTTCTGAGTCTCACCCCAACCCACCGTGCTGACCCCACTCAACCATCCATGCTGACACCACAGGAACCAGAAATTGTGATTTCTGAGTCTCAGCCCAACCCACCGTGCTGACCCCACTCAACCATCCATGCTGACACCACAGGAGCAAACAAATTGTGATTTGTGAGCCTCACCCCAACCCACCGTGCTGACCCCACTCAACCATCCGTGGCGCCCCCGCAAGAGCAAATTACTTTACTTCGAATTATCCCCACCATGACATGTATACGTTTTGTTACTGGCAAATCTTCTGGCATTCTATCTGGCATTCTACCTGGCATATCTTCTGGCATATGTTCTGGCATATCTTTTGGCACTCTGTCTGGCATATCTTCTGGCATATCTTCTGACATTCTATCTGGTATTCTATCTGGCAAATCTTCTGGCATATGTTCCGGCAAACATTTTGGCAGTTTATCTGGCATACCTTCTGGCATTGTATCTGGCATTTTTTTATCCGGCATTCTACCTGGCATATCTTCTGGCATTTTATCTGGCATATCTTCTGGCATTCTATCTGGCATATTTTCTGGCATTCTACGTGGCATATCTTCTGGCATATGTTCTGGCATATCTTCCTGGCACTCTATCTGGCATATTTTCTGGCATATCTTCTGACATTTTATCTGGCATTCTATCTAGCAATTTTTTTGGCGTTCTATCTGGCAAACATTTTGGCACTTTATCTGACATACCTTCTGGCATTCTATCTGGCCGTTGAGGTCCAGCGGTACTCACTGAGCTGGGAGGGTCCCAGGTTGAGGTCCAGCGGTGCTCACTGAGCTCGGACGGTCCCAGGTTGAGGTCCAGCGGTGCTCAGTGATCCCAGGTTGAGGTCCAGCGGTGCCCAGTGCGCTCAAACTCTTGCAGTTGAGGTTCAGCAGTGCCCACTGCGTGCGGAAGTTGGCGAAGAGCTTGGCGAAGAGTTGGCAAGGCGGAAGCGAACATGGGAGTGGACGCAAAGGTGGTGGAGGAGAAGCTGGAGGAGAGGGAGGAGGAGGAGAAGGAGGTGGAGGATGAGGAGGAGGAGGCGGAGGAGGAGAACAACTGTGATAAAATCTAACAACCCTCACCTGGCAGGTGGGGAAAAATTGTGATTTGTGAGTCTCACCCTAACCCACCCTGCTTGACCCGACGCAACCATCTGGCTGCCATCCGTGTTGACCCACTCAACATTCCGTGCGGGCCCCGCAGGAGCAAAAAAATATGATTTGTCACTCACCCTACCCCACCGTGCTTGAGCCTACTCTACCACCCGTGGTGGCCCCACATGAAAAAAAAATAGTGATTTGTGAGATTCACTACTCAACCATTTGTGCTGCCCTCCGTGCTGGCCCCACGAGTTTCACCCTAACCCCACTGAACCACTAGTGGTGGCGCCAAAGAAAAAAAAAGTCTCACCCGAACCGACCGTGCTGACCCCACTCCACCACTTGTCGTGCCGACCCCAAAAACACAAAACACGTTGATCGTTGAATTTAACCCTACACGTGACACTACATCTACACACACACAAGGCTGACCAATCATTGACGACTAGAATCCACTAAACCAAACATAATTGAATTGATTTTTAAAATATCATGTTGTTAAATTGTGGGTGTTTACAAATGTTGTCATTTTATGTTGACATTTTTTTGGCATATTTCGTACATGACATGATACCTTTATCATTATGCATGCAAACAAACAAAAAAACAAACATATTACGCGCATCTATTTACACACTCATATCATGTACATGTTATACACATGTCATTTTCATATCATATGCATATCATTCAAAAAATATATATTTAGGATACTGGTGACACTTAGGAAGCAACCACGTAACGTGCTGACCGTTTAGCACGCGAAACAGGCGGGCAACCATTAACAAGTGTAAAAATACGAATCTCACCCCAGCTCGCGCGCCACAAGACATGTTGACTTATGTTTACCTTTGCCCTTACCTGGGCTTTTGACCGACCCAGGACCCACCAGCAATCACACCCGAAATTGTGAGTCGCAGTCAGACCCACCAGCACGTTTTTTTTTTTCCGGGTTTTGCCCCACTTTTCATGCGGATTCCACAGCACAGGAACGTGCCGATTTGGGTGTTAGATTTTAATCCGCCCGGCTAATACCCGTCCAAAGCTCAGTGAGGTTCCAACCCGTTGTGCC